TTTCAATGGTTGTCACTATCAATGCTTTGCTGCTACAAAAAGCATGCTTCATATTGTGTGCCATGTCACCAATACATAGGAACAGGAGGAGGCCATTCAACCCATCGAATTTCCTTACTATTGTATTATTTCATGGCAGTTCTTTATCTTTCTAATCCCATTCCTCAAACACCTCAATTGACTGCATCAATGATCTTCTGTGGCAATGCATTCCACATTCTCTGAACTCTGTGTGAAGAAATGTTGTCTGGGTTCACTTTTAACTGTCTTAGCTCTAATTTTGAGATTGTGCCTCATTGTTCTTAATTTTGCCTTTGAGACGTTATTCTATGTGAAGGGCACCATATAAATGCAAGCTTTTGTTTGCTACCAAAGGGAAAAGTTGTTATCTATTTATCATGTCAATTCCACTTATTGTTTAAATGTCTCAATCAGATCACCCCTTAACCTCTTCAGACTTTAGGAATCTTCCTCACATTTAACCAGTTAAACCACATAGTTTGCCAATGATATCACTGTCTGGCAAGCTTTCCTGCTCCTTGTCCAGCTAGGACTGCCCTACACTTTGGGTCTTTGGCTTGCAGGCTAAACAGGAGCTGAGTGGGATAATTCCCTGCCCCAAGTGACTTATCTGCCCTTATAAGTCCTGTCGATGAGCCAGGCTGGCTGTGCTTTAATCAACAGTACCCTAGAATACTGCGCACTTGACTGTCTCAGGAATCGGACTACTGAGCCCCCCACAGAGGGTCAATTCCGCCATTCCGTTGACAAACATGTCACCTTGGAACCAGTTCAGCTTCAGGAAGACCTCCCTCCCCTCAAGGAGAATAGCTCAGGGCCCCTCCGGAGAGGCCCCAAATGTTCTTGGTGCCCAGGTCCACAAGAATTTTAAATCCAGCTCTGACTAAGATCAATGGATTCCCAAACTGCGCACTATTTAAGCTACAAACCATTCAGAACTCTGCAGCCTGTGTCCTCTCTCACGCCAGCCTCATTGAGCCCATCACTACCATCCCTGCTCAGTGCTACTGGCTCACCATACCAGATTGAATTCAAGATCCTTGTCCTCACTTTCAAATCCCTCCACGGCCTCACCCCACCCTAGCTCTGCACCCTCTGCAAATCATGATTTAATAGCATCGATGAATTACATAACATCTTGCCAAATTGACAAGAAGCTAACAGATTGCGTGACTCAATCTTTGGTTTTGTCTCTCAATCATCCCTGAGAATTTCAACTGTACAAGACAATGCATGCCCACATCCATTGATACTCAATTCTCTTAAAATTACAAGACACAAAATTTGATGAATTGAAAGGAAAACTTACACATGAAATGGAAAAGTCTAGCTAGATAATGGTTGAACTGCAGAATATTGTAAAATACAATTGCTATAGTGAAAATGAAAATTGTTTATTTTCATGCTATTCATACTAAATAAAGCATCCACTGTCTTAACAAATGCTCTGTTGTCTCCAGTTGAGCTCTGAAGGAAGAAGCCAAGAATAATGAATGTGCTGATTGTCTGAATGACATGATCATCAACAATCCTTCTTATTCATGTCTGTGAATAATGGTGAATTGGACTACTTCTAAACAAAGTAAAGGTTACATTTTTAATCACATATTCTCTCTATTCACTTTCAATTAGCACTATAATGATAAGATCCAAGTGATTAAGGAGGAGTTTAACATAAAGCATAAGGAGAAGCAATGTTGTTTTAAAACCTTTAAAACTTGAGGAAAGTAAATGAAAAATTGCTAAAAAAAAGTTTATCTGGAGAGTGCAGTTGAACATGTCTGGCACTGCAACCAAGCATATAGACCTATAAAGAAAAGACGAACACATAAATTAAACTAAAAATAAATTAGAGCATTGAATACTCTGAAAGTGAAAGAAGAATTTAGAACACTAACAAAATTCTCACATATTTTATTCAATAAATATTTGATAAATTAGAAAATAAACAATGTGATTTCAATTCTGTCCTGGGTGTCTCATTCTTGCATTTAGAAGCACAAAGCTAGACATATCCCTTGTTGTACAGTTTTGGCAGCAGGCATTAAGAAATAAGAAATCTGTATCTTGTCATTGCTTCAAAGATTCTGCATTCTTCAAAGATTAATTCTGCATTTGATAAATTTATTGATCTTGGCAAACAAGGGTATTTTGATCTCCAGTGATTAGCAACAACAACAAAATTACATTTTTAGCATATATTCATGTCGGGAGGACGTCCCAAAGCACTGAACAGTCAGATGTCGGGGCCCGAGCATGGGGTAGGGATGATGTAAGGTGAGGGAAGGCAGAGAGGTGGGAGGGAGACCAAAGGCACGATCAAAGAGAAGGGTCTTGAGACCGGCCTTGAAGGAGGCAAGGGAGGAAGCGAGGTGAAGGGACCGTGGGATGGAGTTCCAGAGTGTGGGGGCAGAGAGGCTGAAAACAACAACTACAATTTTCACTTATGTAGAGCTTTTCATGTAGGGAGAATGTCTCAAAGAGCTTTACAAAGATGGAGTGGGAGCCAAGCTAGGAGAGAGATACCAAAGGAGGGGGCCAAAGTCACACTCAAAGAGATGGGTCTCAAAATGGGTTTTGAAAGGAGAGAGAGTATGGGTCAGGCAGAGGGCAAAATGGTTGAAAACTCATCCAACAGGGCAGAGCTAGTAGGGGGCGTTAAGCAGGCCAAAATTGGCAGAGAGGATTGGAGGGGAAGGGAAATTAGAACCACAGCAGATTGCAGAGATAAGGTGAGGTAAGTTGTGGAGGCATTTAATGGTAAGGATGAAAATCTAAAAGTCAATCTGCTAGGGTGAGGATAAGGGAGATAAGGTCTGAATGATATGGAGCTTATGGAGGGTGGCAAGCAGGATATTGGAGGAGTGGGGTGGAGTGGAGCTCAACTTGTATGAGTCTTGAATTTTTAATTGCTGCACATCCACCAAGAGTCTCACTTTGTCTCCCGCTCTGCAATAGCTGCAGCAGAACCACAATTTGTGCAAAGCCAACTTTTTGACATTTCATTTTACGATAGCCCTAACTCTGAATCTTCTTTAACATTTCTAATATAGGTGTCAATGGGGCAGTCAGTTATGTTCTAACATTAAGAATGTCACTGGCTAATGAGAAAAGCTCTGTGTAGGTGTCTACGTATACCTGTATAGAATTGCACAGTATCTATTTCAGTTTGATGTGAGTGGTGCAGAATAACATGGCATTGCTTGTTTGCAACATTGCCCAAATCATACCAGAGAAAAATAGATAGGTGCAGTGTAAGTGCTCCATTCGTGACACATTGACATTGCTGCACTGGTTTGTCTTTGCTCATTATTCATTGCTGAGGTGTAGAGCAGTGCTCCATTTGGGCTATTATAGTGATTCTTTCCTTAAAGGAAGCTGCTTAACATCTGTTTGCAAATTGTAATGGCAGTGAGGAACTGGCCATTTATTTTATTAAATCTTCATTGTAATACTATTTTTATTCCAGCCTTTATTCGTAAGTGGGCAGTTGAGCTGTTCCATGCATTCTACTAATGCCACTCTGCAACTGGTCTCTTGGGCTAGGGAGACCACATGAATCATCTTTGTCTTGCTTTGGAGAAGTAGCTCCAGTCAACACGTACTACAAATGGCCACTAGGTAGCACTCTCACCTCTGAGTCAAAAGGTTGTGGGCTGAAGCCCCACGTCAGGACTTTGAACTCACTCAGTGCAGTGGTGGGGATGTGCTGCATTGTTGGAGGTGCCGTCTTTACGATGAGATATTAAAACTGAAGTTCCGTCTCCGTTTACATGATTTGCATGGCACTATTTAAAAAGAAAAGGGAGTTTCTCCTGGTGTCCTGGTCGATAGTCCCCCAAATAATAATTGGTCACTCACTTCATAGCTGTGAGATATTCCTGTGTGCAAATTGGTGCTGGATTCAATTATAATATACAATTATTTCATAGCGAAATCCTGGAGAAAATGCCATTTAAAAGGAAATTAATTTGATAGGCAAATGTAGAGGAAGGATATTAGAGGGTACTAGAATTGAGATAAGTAGAGATGGCTTCATTAAAAAAAACAAATGCTAATGGCTTCCTTCTGTTTCATAGATCATCCAGGAGATTGAGTAATGGAATGAAGTCCACAACAGAGTAGGTTTTGCATGGTATATGAACGGACCAGGCTTGATAAACAGAAAACTCTTTTCCATTTCATGCTATCTTAAATAGTGGATACCTCTTCCCTTTGGTACAAGCGGGGAGTGGGGGAGAGGCGTAGTCTTAAAATTAAAATCAAGACAATTAGAACTGAAGTCAAACATTCGTTCACATAGAATAATAATCCTTACATTTGGTATAGCGTCAACCTGTAGAGATATGGAAAGCTATAGAGGCAAGATAGATTGGTGTATTTAAGGGAATTAAATGGATACGGGATAGAAGGGGTATTGAGGGGAATGACAAAAGCATGGGGCATTGAGATTAAAAGATCTGCAGAGATTCAATAAACTGGCGGAACAGGTTTGATGGATTGAATCCTGTTCCTGTTTTCCTATGTTCCTAAGCTCTTGTCCACAAAATGAGCCCTGTATTTTAATGTTAATATCTGTTCATGTCAAAATCTAATCATAATTAACCCTATTATATTTAGAACACAATAGACGTTAGTTTATTTCCAGCCTTGAGTGTAGACTTTTGGACACAGGGATCAGGATAAATCTTACACAAAATAATTTGATGCTTGTAATTTTATTTATGTTTGTTTGAAGAAGCAGCAACAGAGTCCCATCACAGCATCCATGGCAACATCTTTGACTTTCTCTAGGGGAGAGTCTGCACCTGCGTCCAGGCTTACATAATTTTCTTCAAAGCAGTTCAAAGACAGCGTGCAAAAAAAAATGGCAATTCTTAAATTCTGTCTTTATTTTGAAGTCATTTTTCTGTAGTTCGTAAATGAGCCTAGAGAAAACTGACTTCAAACTTAAGTCTGAATTTAAAAATTTGCCAAATTCACTGAAATGCTAAGAAAAAAGAGAGTAAATCTAGATCCAGGTGAAATTTTATCCTCTCTATGCTTTATATGTTAACTGTATATTTGTTAGAGCACTTGAAGCATTATAACCTAAGGGTTTCCAGCATTTTTTTTATTTGCTTGAAAATCAGCGTTGTTTCCCAAATTCCTAGTCTTCATCACTCCAATCTGCAGCTCCAGAAATTGTTATGGTTCTCTCTTCTGTATCTTTTTGCAGTTTGTCTTTGTCTGTTTTAACTGTTCTAAGATTAAAAAAAGTTACAGCATTAGTTTCTTCATTTAACACAAGGATGGGCACTCTGCAATCCACAACTGTCACATTCATGTGAAGCTTTGCCTGATGGCTGTGAGACATTATCCAGCAAGTAACACGGCCATTCAGACTGAGAAGGTCTGTGGTTGGATCATCAGTCTGTGCTGAGTTAATTTGTTAATTTATGTCTGTGGTATTACACTGAAATCTGTGATCTATTTGGTGCAAAAACATGTTAAATCAGTACTATAAGTTTAATATAATAATAATAATCCTTGCATTTGATATAGCGGATTATCAAGTCTTTGAGACATCTCAAAGCGCATCGCAGAATGTACTGTAAAGTGAATTGCCTGTATATTTTGTGGGCGAAACACTATATTAGTCTAAAAAAGGAAAATCTGGTATAAACACAGAAGTCGCTGGGAACACGCGACAGCCACGGAGAGAGTAAACTGAGTTAACGTTTCAGGTCTATGACCTTTTGTCTTCCTATTAGTGTTCCTAAATGGATATTCCAATTTCACAAAATTGGCACAAATCTCCAAGATTCAGGAGATTATCATCCTTTTCCAGTAAATTTACGAAGTAGAAAATAACCCTTTTATTAAATATATAATAATAATCCTTGCATTTTATATATATTGATGAGACTCAGATCACTTCACAGGATACTGGATACTGTTAAGTTGCGAAACTATGTATTTTGTGGATGAATGTGGGAGCCAATTTACACACAAGCAGTGTTTGACAAACAGCCATAGAATGAATGATCAATTATTATTTGGGGGTTCTTGGGGACTGGGAGAAACTTACTTTCTCTTTCAAATAGTGCTTCAGTAATACGTATAGACAGCAGCAACTGTTGCTTATAAATTAGTCATTTGAATATTAGCTCATTACTGAGATTTAGGATAAAATTTTAGAAATAATGTGAGTATATAACCTGACATTACAGCCTAATATGCAGCAATTTCTCATAGCTTTCTTTACTCAGGGATCATACTTATGGTTACTGGAAGGATTCACAATTCAGATTCCTTGATAGGACAGTTACCAGGGATGGGATAATTGACTTTAGCCGACCAAGGCTGTGAGGAGAAAATCAGCTATAATTCCTGCTTCTGGTTGCTATTGTTATAATATCCCTTTGGAAATGATCTGTATTGATGCATTTACACCTATGACATAACATCTGTAAATTAGCCACGTGTAATCTCAAAGTGACTTTGTTAGTTTCAGAAGGCTACATTTTATAAGGCAAGATGGCTTCTTACCATATGTAACCCCGTTGTCAGTATGGTTGCAAAAGATAAGTATTTACACTGTAAATAGCTTTAGCTTTTGCTGCTATTCACAGACACAATTTAGTTAATATAGTTACTCTGAGGATCTTCCGCATTCAATCACTGAGGAATTAATTACTTTTACCTGATGAGTACAGTTTTCCTTTCTGTCATTTCCACAGCCTGTTCTTTGGAAACACTGTCAATGGCACTGAGGTTACCATGCCCCAACATGCTACTCATCACGCAGAATCCGCCCAACGTTGTTGACAGGCGGGAATTCTCTCCTTCAATCAGATTCCTATAAGACAAGCAAAGACAAAGACAAGACAAAGTTTGCTATACAGCAAGCAAGACAGTCATTTAATAATGAAACTAACTCTGAGACAACAACAAATTACATTTGTATAGCGCCCTTCGTGTTGGGAGGATGCTGGGACCTTCTGCATGCTACAGCACGTTAGAACTATTAAAAATGTACTGAGTTAGTTGATTTCACTGAAAGCAGAACCAGGGCTGCAACTGAATTCGGCAAACCAAGTTATGGATGAAAAAATCAGTTAGGTTCCTGAGTCTGAATTCAATCTTCTATTAGGTGAGGAGAGCATCAACGGAGTGATCCATATGGTTGTATAAGATGCTGAAATTCACTGTCAAGGTGCAGACATGAATAATGGTCACTTGGGCAAAGTTTTGGAGGGCAGCCAATTATTGTAGAATAATATGGAACTGCACCCCACAGAATGGAAAAAAAGGAAAGTGAATTACATTCAAAAAAAGGCAGGCTAGCCAGAGAGAACAAGTACCACTTTCGTACTAGAAATATATATGGATCTGCCAGTAGTTTTAGCTATAAATGATCCCATTAGACATGAATAATTTTACGCACAAAGAAAGTGCAAGCTGCAAAGTGTATCACTGCAAAGAATTGTTTAAAATTCTAATAATCTTCCCAACACAAATAATGGCATATGAGCAGAGTAACTACTGTAAAAATACTACCATACTGATTGACATTGTGTGATGGCAGACGTTCTGAACATGTGGTGCAGGTTGTATTCAATTTTGTACTCTTTCCTTTCTTTCATCTAGTTTCAAAGAATGGACTAGTGAGCCCCTTACCTGTATGTGGCAATTTCAACCTCCAGCGCCATCTTAATATTGAGTAGGTCTTGATATTCACTTAAGTGCAGAGTTATCCTTTCCTTTGTATTTTTCAGTTCGTCTTGCAAACTCACTATTTTTTTCTGTAGCAGCAACACATAGAATTACTTTAGTATTTGCTATTGATGTCAAAGTGGTGGTTTGTCTTTCACTTGAAGCTTGGTACTTTAATGGTGCTCTTCGTATAGGATGTAAATATTGCTATATTTACCTGCTTGTATACCTTATAGATATATTTGCTATATTTATTAAAAAAAAACACAAAGTACTGCAGATGCTGGAAACCTACTGAGTGCTCCCAGCGACTTCTATATTTGTTTGCTATATTTATATTGGTTTGACTGATATTACTTTACTTTATAGAGCTACATAAAATGCTAAATAGGTTTGAGAAAGTACACGCAGAACAATAATTTTGGTTACATCAAGGCAACAGGACAAGAACACACAGATTCAGGATTATAAAACACAATGTCAGGACAAACACCAGGAAGTATTTGTTTACCCAGGGTAATTAACACATGGAACAGGTTACAAAGAAGCTTGGTAGAACCCAAGGTATTGGACTCATTTAACAAATAGCTTGATGCTCTAATTGGAAGAAGGTAGGTTGGTATTCTGAGTGGGTGAGATCAAATTGGTTGAATTCACCCATAACACTCTTGGAATCTTGTTTTCTATACTATTCTCTACTCTGTTAAACTTGGTGATGTCCTGCATTGTGATCACTTATGTTCCTAGTATCTTTTTATTAAGTATAAATCCAAGATTAAAGAATTGAAAAAAAAATAGAGTTAACTATAAGACAGCAGTTGGCTTTCAGAATAAAATGAAGATATTTTTCAACATAATTAATTTTCCTTGATGCCAGATTGCATAGTAGAATATACCACCAGACTGAAAATATATGGACTAAACCGATGCTTCTTGAGTACCTGATATTCTTCAATCTCAGTTTTGTATTTCTCAGCTCTCTCTTTAATCTGAGCCTCCAGTGCTGCATTACGGGCTTTCAGTGCATCCAGTTCCATCTGGCTGCTCTGGAGCTGAAAGAAAGAGTAAAAAAAAAGGTTTCGATTCATTGATTGTTAAGATAATGGGGTCAAACTTATGATTGTCACAAATGGGTCTGTGTGACTTGCAATCTTAATTTGCAATATTCCTAAAACTGTTAATTCTGATATCTGAATACCAAGGTGAATCTGATTACCAAAGTGCAATGAGAGGCAGAAGGAATTTTTTTTATCTCTCTCCTAACTGTCTATTTTGCTCTCCGCCATTTATTCGGACTTTGGAGGGTAGGAAAATGCAATTAGCCTTTTTGCAAATTAAACGGACCTCACAATTAACATCCCATGCCTTTTCTGAACATCACAAAGTATCAGAGGGACTTCAGTATCACATTTTACTGACAAGGTTTTGTTTTGCAGCAATCTCTGTAATGCCATTATATGGGTAGGAACTTTCCTAAGCGGATAAGAAGCTCTGTATCTCTGTAAGGAACATGTAGACTGAGTTTATATCGGTGGATTGTACAAAGTCACATGATAGAACTTCTGATTCTTGCATCCAATCAGTCTGCCATATTTAGATGTTAAGATGACAGCAAAAATATGACAAGCATGTCATCTGAGGCATGGACCTTAGCGGTGATGAATTATGTAGGTGGTTATGTTAACTAATATTCTATAGCCTTCACACAATTGCTGTCAGGAGTCGAGGACAAATATCCTGTATTTTCCTGAGGACTACTCAACTTCCTCACAGAATAAATATACAGAGAGAAAATAACATGACAATATAACATTTATGTAACCTGTTTGGAGGTTGTATGTTTGTTAACTCTAATAATCTATTAGATTTGGACAGGCATCCATACATCTGAACTAGTTGAGCATGAAATTTGGCACCAGAAAGAATCTGTATTTTTGTAATGTTTTATGAAATTGAAATACCTCAATGTAGTTTATAGTAATTACAATGAAGTGTAGTAACTCGATTTGTAGGGCAAAGATTCAGGATTAGAACCCTATTGTATGTCGTGTGCACTATATTATGCTCTTATTGAAGAAGATTACTAAAAAAAAAGCAAAACAGAGATAAAAGGGAATTGAAAATAATTGAGGAGATGGGGTATTCCAAGGAGTAAAGGTGAACAAATGGCCGAAAAGGCTATTGAAATAATAATAATAATAATAATCCTTGCATTTGATATAGCGCTTTTCACGTCAGGAGGATGTTCCAAAGCGCTTCACAGAACAGACTGTAAAGTGAATTGACTGTATATTTGTGGGCGAACGCGGCAGCCAATTGCGCACAGCAATATCCCACAACAGTCGTAGATTGAAAATGACCAATTTATTATTGTTTTTGGTTTTGGAGGGATTATTATTAGGCTCTGTGTGGAGTAAGGAAACTTGCCCAAGGTTTCGCCCTCTGCCTGGAATTGGACTCCGGTCTCTCACTTGCAAAGCGAGTGCTCTAACCACTGAGCTACAGGACTCCACGAGAAATGCTGCTGTGAAGCTATCAAAATATTCACTTTAAGTTCATATTTCTTTGTTGCCAATTCTCTTGATTTTTAGTAGTGAATCACCACAAACAATGCAGAATAATTGGAGTTGAGTCACTATAAATGAAACTGGAGCCCTCACACTACCAGCAGGAGGTGCTTCCAGGAGCAGTTTGACTGTAAACACCGAAGTCAGAATCAGTACCAGTAGTCCCTTGGGAAGTTAAATCTGATTTTCCGTGGGATGCGGAGTGGTGGGGGAAAGTGGGGAGAGGGTGTTGGTCGAGATTACCTGGTCTCTTCCTGGTTCATATACCAGGCAGGAATTCATTGTGCAATGACCCCTGACTGTGACATGGATCAGTGTGTTGGAGCTCCATTGTCTCAGGTTAGCATCCCATCATATTGTTACTGTACAATTTTGATCTTTGTTGTGCAAATGAAATGAAAAATATATTTATATATATTTAGATCCAGACTGGATTTCATGAGCACCAAGAATTCCATTTAGCAAAAAAGAGGGGAAAACACCAGTCTGAATGATGTCTTTACTTACATTCCTTTTACAGTTTCCAATTTGTTCTCTTGTCCTTCGAATATTTTCTATGTGTTTGGTTGACGTTTGATTCAGATCCACAAATTTTGTTTTGTACCAATCATCCATTTCCTAGGAAAATCATACAAGTAAACAGAATTAAACTGCTGAAAGTTAAAGAATACAAGTGAAAAACGCAAGCTGATATTAATATATCATTCATTCAACTTTTCTTAGCTTATTTAGTCAAAATTGGTGACCAAAGATTGTTTGAACAAAAACAGATTTAAAAAATACCAAGATATTTCACAGGGATGAACAGCAAGCAGCCTGTTACCTGACAGAATGACTTTTTCATCAAAGAGACATTCTATTGCTTTTGCAACACATTTCTCCTCTCAGTTTTATTTCATATTTTTGTTTTCTGCCCACAGTACTCTTTCAAGATATACAATAGCATAGCACACCACCTAGAATGACCTTGAGAATACATAGAACAAATGCAGTACAAAGATACATTCAAAGTCTCTGTCAGTAGCCTGACAAGTAACTGCATTTGCATGAATAGAACCAGATGGTTTATTGTGTTTCTCAAGGTCAGAGATGACAGTGCAGCAGAATGAAACATTCTCTACTTTCCACCTCATAACAGCATAAAACACATCCAGGTCAGGCTTGGCATGGGATTGATTCCAAGTGCAAGCTCCCCTTGTGCTGCTCTGACAATGCTTCTCCAACCTGATCATAGAGGATCAAAATGGGCAGAAATCATTTCCTTGCTGGCCCTCAGCAGCCATCAGAGTCAGGAGTTTTCCATTGCTTCTTATGTTTAGTTTACCATATTATTCGTGGAAGTTCCTTCTTTCCAAAAGGATCCGTTTTTATTTCAGTTTTTACTGCATACGTTTTTATTGGAAACCACAAAGCTTTACTCCCAGCGTTAAGAGTGCTTTCGGGTGGGAAGTTGATTGATACTTTCTGCTTCCTAACACATTGCATCAGGTCTGTTAAGAGATATAGTTGGAGGAGTTTCTTCACTGGATTCCTTGATAATAAATTTGAATCTTGCAACTGGGATTCCTTCCATCCACCAGAAGCATGACATATTTGCTCTGACACAATCTGTTTCTGGAGCAGAGTTTCAACTGAGAATTAGAACAGGAATTCTAACTGGATTCTTTATTTATCCAACATGACTGATTTCGGAGTTCTGTGTATATACAGTTTATTGCTCATGCAGTTTAGTGCATGTGTAGAACTCTGAAATCAGGTGATCATTTCTTAATCTTAATCAGCCTTGATTTATACTGCACACTTCATGGTGTATCATTGCCAAATTCATGGTAATTAGTCACAAAACATGCAGTACAACAGCAATATAAGCTTCCTTAAAATGTAGCACATAAGACATGGACGAGTTGTTGAGACTCTAGGCAATTATCTGGTTTATCTCCCTCAATCCCTCCCACTTTCAAGTCCCGCCTAAAGACCTTCCTTTTTGATCATGCTTACGGTCACCTCCTGTGCTTATGGGAGGGCCTCTTCCTCTGACTCGAGGTCAGACTCAGCCACTGTCAAGCACTCCAGGATGCCTCCCCGCGTAAAGGGCGCTATATAAATGCAAGTTGTTGCTGTTGTTGGTACATGAGCTACCTGTAGATTCTTGGCTGAGATGCCTTCATAATGCAGCTGAATATCTTTGAGTGCAGTGCCCAGGTCTGGGATGCTGTAGGATATCTCCACAGTGACAGAAGCACTGTAGATCTGTTTCATCAAATCCTCAATTTCCTGTTCCAAGATAGACCATAAGAATCCATTAAAAATTATTTTTTATCTGGTTAGCCAGGTGTCTAACATATACTGAATCCCATCACTATGCTTAAGAGCCCGCCTCCGAGCGTAACTCACACCCAGCAGCCGAAACCACTCTTTTGTCGCCTCCCACCTCAATTATTCCAAATTTTTCCTCACCTGTCTCCCCAGCTCCACTATCCACAAAATCCAATTAATTCAAAACTCCACCAGCTGTACACTCACCCGCACCAAACTGTTACCCCCATCACCTCAATCCTTGCCAGGTTCCACTGGCTCCCTATCACAGGAAGGAACGATTTCAAGATCCCCACACTTGTTTACAAATCATTTCATGCCCTGACGTCTTCCTCTGACCAGCTTACTCCCCACTCCTCTCCCTCTCGTCCCCTCTGCGTTACCATCAGCGGCTATTCTTTCAGCTACTATGCCACAAAACTATAAAACTCTTTACCTTACCCCTCTTTATTTGTCTTCAGATTGCACCTGAAGACCTTCCTCCTCAACTATGCCTACAATCACCTCCCCAATTTCTCCCTATCGACTTTACTGAACCCCCTCACAAGGTTAGAAATGTGGCAATACCTCTTTGTGCACTCTCTGCAGGAATTCCAACTCCACCTCGAGAGCCTCCAGCTGCTTTTCAAGGTCCATCCGAGAGGCTGTGGCTGCATCAACATCCTGAATAATTATAAATACAATTAATATTGATAGCAATAGAAAAGGTAATAATAAAGGTACAGAGGTATTAATACAAAGACTGAAGATATATAATCAGGTCACTATTAATATAAATCTTCACGATTAATGTAGATTTTTAGCTCTGTAAAGCGTTGAGTTATACAAATGTGCTTTCTCTAAACATTGAGCGTTCTTTACAGGTTTAAATGTAGATTTTGAGATATTTATAGAGACAAAAAGATAAACAGTGAAAGAGACAGATCTAAGACAGACATTCAGAAAGAGACGGACAAAAATATTTTTATTTACAGGACGGAAAGCTTCGATATCTTCTTCTGCCTTCTTGCGAGCTGCAACAGTTTCTTTATACTTTATCTTTATAGCCTCCAGTTGCGCAATCATAGCCTCCCTTTCAGCAACCGACAGATCCTTGTGGACATAGATTAAAATAAAGATCAATATTCACCTCATTGTCATTATTCATAGCTGTGAAACCTTGCATTCCATTGAGCCACACATCACAAAATATAGACTCCCAACCTCTGTTATAACACCACCAATGTGGATTGAAATGATATGTGTGATATTTTCTATGGATGAAATTACCAAATATTCAGTCATTGTAGGAATGCAGAATTCATTATTGTAAGTTAAAAATGTATTTTTGTTGAATGGTGACAAGCTGACTTGCCTGCAATTTTCTTGGGAGGTCTATCTTTATCTTTACAAAGTCCACAATGTTAAAACACATTATGTCCAATTAGTGGCACTTCTTAACNAAAAAACCTGTTACAATTTCCCATACATATGGATTGGACTTCCCATAACAACAACAACAACAAGATTACATTTGTATAGCGCCTTTCACATCAGGAGGACGTCCCAAGGTGCTGGACAGTGTGCAGAATTTCAGACCCAAGCTGGGGTCAGGGGGGAGAAGGGAGGGAAGTGGAAGGGGAGTGACCAATGGCATGGTCGTAGAGGAGGGTTTTGAGGTGGGACTTGAAGGAGGTTAAGGAGGGGGCGAGGTGGAGTGATTGGGGGATGGAGTTCCAGAGGTTGGGGGCAGAGTGGCTGAAGGCTCTCCCGCCAATGGTGGGGCGGGTGGGTGTAAACGGGATACTTTAATATGACTGTCACAACTTAAAACTTAATATCATTTCTAACTTGATGGCATGAAACTTGAATGCTTAAGAAATAATTTCAAGAGATCAATCTATATTGCTAAACTAATTATTTTCCAATACCTTCATTTTAAAACAGGTTGTCAGTGTCAAAGGGAAGGAACCAGATCAAATACCAGTTTAAATACCACTATCCTTGAATCAGAGCTGGGTGAATCTCAGCCAAACTTCTTATTCTTATTTTGATCTAAACAGTTACAAAATGTTTGCTATGTGATGGATTAATCCTAGGTTAAATCAGTATCTGGTTCAGATGGATGGAGTACTATGGTAGCTACAGGGTCTTTAAGGTGTGACAGTGCTTCCTCAGTTTGAACAAAAATCTTAAGGTTAAAACGAAGGTTAAACTGGAACAAAAATCAGGACCCATGTACATAACATAGCATGAATACAAAACACAAAAAGACCAAGAGTTAAATATTTGTGGAGACCTTCACAAAAATTAACTCCATGTGTAAGGTTCTTTATAGGAGCGCTGCATTCTTTTTGTTGTATATTAAGACGTATAACAATAGGTTGCAGTCAGGGGTAGGTTTAATAAGGGCAGATGGCTCATAGATTGGATCCTGGTGGTTGAGGGAGCACAGGAAGATTTGGAAAAATATTCCAGGACATTAAAGGACAACATGCAGACATGTACAATTAATTATATTTAACATTTATAGATAATTCCAAAGCTTTCAGTGCTTCTACAAATTGGGTGTTTGTTGGCGATCCTTGAAAGTTAATTTCACCATACAAAAGGGTTCTCCTATTCATATGCCTGTGACAGCAACATAATATTACACAACGTTTTAGAATCTGAGATAAAAAGAAAAAAAAGGTAATATTCACGGTCTGAAACTAAACTACAACATACACATGTCCACAAAATACGCTCACAAAATACACAGGCAATCCACTTTAACGTATATCCTGTGAAGCACTTTCAGATGTCTTTATGACATGATAAAGCACTATATGAAATGCAGGGATTATTATGATTCTAGAAATTGCTGGAAATTTGATTGTACTTAGAACATTAATTGAGCGAGATTGATCAGATCATTTAGTTCACTTAAAATCTATATTTCTTTTTGAATTCTGTTCAGTCTGCTTTCCATTTTCATCATGTTCAATTTGATATCATTTGATAAATTATATTTAATTATTTCTGTATTCAGCTGTGGGTCAGAGTTACCAATGCCTTCAAAATAAATTCACAGACTTTTTTTAAAAACTAACATAATACATGTTTTTACTGACATGTGTAAAACAATAGAAAACAATATAATATTTTATTTTTACTCTGATGAACCTTACACTGTGGGTATTAGCTCCTTTATCTTGATTTATAAAACATCAAGTCTGTGTTGCTTCTGTTTTTTCTGCCCTCTCCTGAAGGCTCATGCTGTAATACAATTCTAGTGGTGCCAATATCTCTCCCTAGTATCTCACCCTGTTGACCATTCTTCATCTTTGAGTTTTGACAGTGCATGTTGGCATGGAGAGACAGTGGGGGAAATCACGTTGAGGCTCACAGACCAAAAACAACACGCCTCCCAGCAGATGATGATTGGGATGAGAAGCCCAATCATTGCTGCTGCTCTCCTACTGATGCCCAAGCCGGCTCAGGCTCAATTGACTCATCACAGATGCAGGAAGGACCTCAGTTTCAAACTAGGCAGTAATGGCCTTTGCCAAATGGGTGAGCCCAAACAATAGATTATTCAATTGCATTAAGAATCTGTGGTATATATCTAGGCCTGTTTGGAGGTACAGATGTATACAGACATGTAGATTTAAAATCACACAATGAATATTTACAGTATCTGATTCAATTTTAAACAATGGACTTTGGGTTACCCGTTGGACTTTCATCTGTTCAGCTATCCGGCGGAGATCTTGGAGTTGCTCTTCGTACAGATGTCTCAAGCTTCGTGGTTGCAAAATGCGACTCTTCAGAGCCTCAATCTCTGCCTCTAAGACTTTATTGTCCTGTTCAAGATTACGAACCTACAGTGCACACAGACTAGCACTTTACAAAGACAGAAATCAACCAAGAGACCCAGTGTAACAAAAGAACACAAATATTACAAACATACTATATATTAGTGTCATTGAATCTAATATACCAAATCCTTTTACTCTCTTGTATGTGGCAATACTAGCTTTTTCCCAGCATTTATTGTCTGTTCCTAGATGCCCTTAGAATGTGGTGGCAGCAACTCGGGATGAGAAATAAATGGTTATCGTCATCCACATCCTGAGACAGAGTGGAAAAACATTTGGGGAGTCTAGCTTTTCTCTATTTATGTCGTTTTTTAGAGCTTTCACAATTTGCCAAATTGATGAATTCAGTCTTAACTTTGAAACCAGTATTTTGCAGTTCTTAAAAGAATATAATTTTCAGCCTTTCTGCCCCCACTCTCTAGAACTGTATCTAACTCGCTCCCTCCTCACCTCTTTCATGGTTCCTCTCAAGACTCACCTCTTTGACTACGTCTTTGGTCATCATTCTTCTCCCCATCCCCCTAGCCTCTCAACCCCAGCTCTGGTGGCAAACCAGGATTGTTAAGCGGCTTGGGATATCTTCCCAACACCAAAAGTCAATTTGTATTTTATTGTATTGTACAGAAAATTGCTTAAAATATAAGGCAGTATTGAGGAATTTGTCAAATTTGGGCTTCTGAAGTGCTATGCAAATAGAGCAAATCTAAACCAAGGTGGAATTTCTCCCTAATCGTATGTTAAGGTTTAAGTTGCTTTGAATCCACAATTCTTTCTTTGCAAATATAAAATTGCTTTAAGATTTCCATGATCAGGCTGTAAAAATTGTGGGATGTGTTAACATATTGCTGAAAAATCCAGAGATCACTAGTTCATGACCAACAACATTGGCTGGTGCACAGAATATTTTCTTGCAAATCAATGACCATATTTGTCAATAATGTGATAATTAGCACATTACAGGTTTATTTTTCACCTCTATAATTTTAATTGGTGAATAATAAGAATGATTCAGCAATTTATAAATAGCAGTTAAATAATTGTCATAACATCACCAAATTTGATTGTGTTAAGTTGCTGATGGAAACTGTCTATGTATCAGGTGTGAGCCTGGTTTAGTTTGTAGCACTCTCGCCTCTGTGTCAGAAGGTTGTGGGTTATAGTCTAGGCTGACACTCCATTGCAATGGGAGAGCTCTAGAGGTGCCATTCTTCAGATGAGACTTCAAACTGTTCAGATGGCCACTAAAGATCTCGTACCATTATTTGAAAAAGGACATTTCTCCTTCTCTCCTAGCCAACAATCTCCCAAATAAAATGGGTCATTCACTTCATTGCTGTTTGTAGGACATTGCTGTGTTTAAATTGGCTGCCATATTCACCTCCAAAATATCTACAAAATATACAGTCACTACACTTTACAGTATCATTTCAACCATTCTGAGATGTCCTCCCAACATGAATGTTGCTATATCAAATGCAGGGTTTATTATTATATTGTTTTAACCTATAGTGCTATAAGCATGTCTTACTTTCTCGATGTAAGCTGCCAGCCTGTCGTTCAGGATTATCATCTCCTTCCTCTCACTGGTTCGAATGCTGAGGAATTCTTGATTTGTCGCAGAAGCTGCATCCAGATCCAGCGCCGGCCCTACTCCTCCTCCCAGGCAGATTGTTCCCAAGCTGTTACAGAGAGCATGATTAGCTATAGCATTCAGGAATTATTTGACCCAATAATTCTGAAAAGTTTTGAATCTTTATAATTAAGATTTCATTAGGAAAATGTGTCTTATCTGCACAGCGTATTGGAGTGATTGATTTTATGAAGCATTGAAGAAGGACTGAAAATAAGAATGAAAGATTTTCACCATAGGAATCGCAGTATATTGTGTTTTTCTATATTGGTCTTGTTATAAATGCCACTAATATGCAGCATACATTGCAAATGTATATGTTATTATTGTCTAAGAATGTACTGCGGAGATAACTGTAGCTCAGTGGTTAGAACACTTGCTTTGCAAGCGAGAGACCTGGGTTTGATTTCCGGCAGGGTGAAAGCTTGGGCAAGTTTCCTTATAATTGCCTGATAATAAACCCTCAAGAAAAAAATAATAATAATTTGGTCACTCAATCCATGACTGTTTGTGGGACACAGCTGTGCGCAATTGGCTACCGCATTTCGCCCACAAAATATACAGTCAATTCACTTTACAGTATATTCTGTGAAGTGCTTTGTGACATCTCAAACACGTGACAAACCTCTATACCAAATGTAAGGATTACTATTATCCCCAATTATTGTTAAAAAATGTAAAGAATTAAACATTTTCAGTTAAATGAAATGTCTAATTTCCTATAATAATCATGAGTTTGACAACATTCATTTGAATAGCATATCGAAAAATACAGAACATCAATCAAGTGCTCATATTTGTATGTAAAACATTATCATACTGTGTGAGTACCATTCACCGGGCTCTGTGAAATTCTATCATTGTGTTAAGTACTGACAATGTGTTTATTGCACAGCATTACTTTATCCTCTATAAATATTTCAAGAGCAGATGTGACATAGAATAGTTTAATTGAATCCTTATTTAGCTTGAAGCGGGGAGTTGCTAAAAATCAGTCTCATGTGAATAATCGTGTTAAATTTTAGTTGTGGTATTCCGAGCGACTGCCAAATTCTGTGTTGGACCTGGTTTGCATCTCTGCTACAAATTCGCACCCTATATTTCTGCAGGGTTTAGGTGCTTGCCTGCATAATCCTGCTTGTTCAAAATTAATTCTAAATCAATTAATCTCAACCTTGGATAAGAATAAGTCAACCTTTCTGTAGTTCATTGGGTTAGTAACTGTTGAAAAATATTTCAATAAAAAATAATTTAAATAACCTATTTGGTTTTCTTAATGTGCCACAAGGAAAAGGTTTGGAAAATACCCTACCACCCCCCAACCCCCCACCTCGGTGTACTGATCTCTGTGTATCCAGAATTTTATCTAGCTGAACCAGGGCCGAAACAGATTTTTTTAAAACAATTCCATAGGCCCAGATGCATGTAGTCTTCTGCCAGGCCACTCTCCTATCACACCCCCACCATGCTTGCTGGCCATCAGGGATATCAACTTTGATTCAGTTTGAATCTCTCGAGCAGAAGCTCTTATTCGCTATCCTCTGCTCAAGGGATTCAAATAATTACAATGCCGGTACCCGTGTTTATTGGCATTTTTTGGCACATAAAGCTGCAGTAGTATTAAATGCATACTTAAATCTCTCCAAGGATTATCCTCCATAAAGTCATTTAAAATTATTTATGAGAGGTCTCTGGTCATTTGGCTGAATTGATCTGGGTTTCAGTTGAAGACTGCATACATAGTCATAATAATTAATGTTTGAATTCGATTCAGCACCTTTTGACGTAGACAGAATGTCTCAAAGCACTTCACAGATTTATTATTAAATGTATAGTAACAATATTTTGTAGGTGAGCCCGGCAGCTAAATTATATGCAGCAATGTCCCATTAACAATTTTATCTGGAGAATTGACCAAGTCAACAGGAGAAATTTCCTTCTCTTTGCAAATAGTGCTATGGAATCTTTCAAGTCAATGTGAAGGCAGACAGGAACTTGGTTTAATATCCAATCCATGGGATAGCATCTACAACAAGGAAGCACCCGCACTGTCCTGCATTCGAATGTCAGCCTAGAATGTGAACATAGCCCATAACCTTCTGATTCAGAGATAATAATAATAATAATAATCCTTGCATTTGATATAGCGCTTTTCACGTCTTCTAGAGAATGCTACCAGCTTACGTAGGATGACACCTACCATCAGTAGCAAACTTAAACAAATAGGTAATGATAGAGATCATCAACAAAGTTTTTAACTATGCTACTTACAACCAGAACAACTGAAAATATTTCACTTTCCTTGCATTATGATCATATTGCACAATGTAAGACAAACTAAAGTATCAAACTGGCCTGACCTGCTGAGTGTTCCCAGCGACTTCTGTTTTTGTTAAAGCATCAAACTGTTGCATGAGGAATAAACTTCCATCACAGGTCATGGAACCAGAGACAAAAGGGTTTCAAAAAGAACTAGACATGTTTGGTAAATGAATGTTGGAATCGAGCCAGCCCTGTGGTGGTCTGGATTGTCCAGTTTCTGAGCCAGCGGAGTACTCCAGAACAAGGCCAGTGACAGGACAGCCAGTCTAGCTCATCCACAGGACTTGGAGGTGCAGATCAGTCACTGGGGGCAGGGATTCTTCCCATTCAGCTCCCAGTAACCCTGCAAGCCGAAGCTCCAGTGGTTAAGATGGTCCTAACTGGACAAGCAGTGGGAAAGTGTGTCATGCAATACTTTCAGTGGCAACGTATGCAGTTTTAGCTGATTAGACTCCAGCAGTACCCCAACGCACACTCTGGGAACCCCGAACCTTGGCTCTTACCAACCTCGCCTAATACTCTTTGTCGAGCAAGATGGAGCTCCCTGACAGTTGTGTGAAGCACATTAAGATGATTGCCCCCATGTGAAAAGCGCTGTATAAATATAAATTGTATTGTACCTGGTAATGCGGGGTCCACGCACTGCCGAGGTGGTCCTCCTGCCGGTTCCTGCCCCACTCACTGTCACATGGGCAGTGGTGCGGCTGTAACTAGCAGATCGATGGCGAGCTTGGCGGCGAGGTGGAGATGGACTGGACACCCGCACATGGTATGAGGCACTGCTGCTGCTGCTGCAATCCTCAAAGTGGCGGCGATAGGAAGACATCCTTTCGGGGCTGCAACTCATGTTGCTGGCTGGGCAGGGCTGGCTGGTTGGCTGGCTGGCTGGCTGGCTGGTCTCTTCAGTGGACGTTGATCCTTTTCCACTACCCCAGTAGCAAAGACACATTTTATATACTCCCAGCAATGCCTGATCAGCTCATGAGACTGATCGTCTGGAATTTCCTGCCTAAGTTCAATTTGTAGGCGGACCTTCTCCCTTAATATTTGTCAAAGTCGTGTTAAGTGGCACAAAAGAGTGCATGATCTTAAAATAGAGCATTTAGGCAATTAGATACCACGTTGATGTAATGCAAGTGGATGGAACTGAAGTTTGATCCCATGGAAAGTGAAGCATAGAATATTTGCATATTTTCCTTTGAAAGCTGTACTTATTTATCAAAAATGTAATATTGTATCCAAACATTGAATTTTGGAAACATCAAATCAGCATTTACTTAGGACTTTGTTTAAAATGTTTTACTAGTTTATTAAGAAAACACCTGTCTGTAAGCCACTTTTTGCTTCAAAAGAATATATTTTTCAAGAAACATTGTTATCCAGAATTTATAATCTAAATTATTCATATATGCTTGTCAATATTAACTTCCTGTAAATGTAAATGGTTTCATTACATTTTATTTGTGAACTATATGATCAAAATCCTCTTTCTTGGTACTTTTAAACAATATCTCCTCCTAATGTGATATAATCAATATAATGAGATCTTGTCTTCCATTTCATTTATTTTCAAAAGATTGTATCTACATTACATATTTTAGTAATAAGGATTCTTGGATCTGAAGATTTAGGTCAGAACAAGGTTGCATATCACATATTTGAATTCCCTTGAATCCTTGCTATTATTTTCTATCCAATTATTTTTAACTCATGAATACCTTGTATCTGAGCCATGTATCAATTAATTATTGGTGTCAACTAGCCTCTAAAAAGATAATAAGTTCAATCCCCACACTAGCACTTTGACTCAGTCTAGGCTGACACTGTAGTGCTGGGGAGTGCTGCATTGTCAGAGTTTTGCCCTGGGGTGAGATGTTGTAGCAAGGTCCCATCCAACTGTTCAGTGGAACATTAAAGATCCCTTGATACTCTTAGAAAAGAGAAGAAAATTAGTCCCATTGTCTTGATAAACAATCCTCCAAATACACTGATCATTCATTTCATGGCTGCTTGTGGGAATTTGCTTTGTGAAAATTGGCTATTGCAATTTACAACAAATATCTGTCACTACACTTAACAGCAATTACTTGCTGTGAAGGCTTTGAGAAGGTTCAAGGTGCTATATCAAATATTATTATTAGGGACACAAATTACATCAGGCTCTTAAAGGGCTACAGAACCCAAGCTGTAACTGCTTGTTGCTGGCATGAATAATCACTGAACAGTATGGTGTTATTTTGTTTCTCTGTTGCTGAGAAACGGATTGTTGGGGAAAACTTAGCAGAGCTCACTCATTGTCATTTGTCTGAGAAATGCTGGTGTGATTCCCTTTCTAAGATACGGTAGTTGGAAAGTCAATATAAAATGATTTTGTGAGTTTAGCTTGGCTCTGGAGTCTGTGTCAGAAGCTTTAATAATAATAATAATCCTTGCATTTGTTACAGCACTTTATCTCATCATCAAGTCATCTCAAAATACTGTAAAGTGGATTGACTGTGTATTTTATAGGTGAAACAAGACAGTCAGTTTGCACACAGCAATGTCCCACAAACAGCCATGGAGTGAGTGACCAATTTTACTTGGGGGATTGTTGTCCAGGATACTAGGAGAAACTCCCTTCTCTTTCAAATGTTGCCATGGGATCTTTAACATCCACCTAAACAGCAGACAGAACCTTGCTTTAACGTCTCATCTGAAGGGCAGATTGAGGGTTGAACCCCATGTTAGGATTTGAGCTCATAGTCTAAGATGATACTTCAGTGTAGTTCTGGGAGAATATTGCATTGATGTGGGTGCTGGGCTTTGGAATAGATATTAAACCAGAGTCTTGCCTATCTATTCAGGTAAATGTTAAAGATCCTATAGCACAATGGGAAAACAGAATTGAGTTTCTCCTAGTATATCCTCCAGATAAATTGATCACTCAACTAAAGACTGCAATACCAATACATACAATACTGAATTAACTTCCTTTCTTTCTACCTATTAGTTAATTGGCCCTTGATTTCTTATATTTGGCTCTGTAATATAGTATACACATTTACCAATATTATTAGCTCTGCAAATTCAAAATTAACAAATTGCCACAACTCTGTGAAAAGGTAACATTGTTGGACACCATATTTTTTTGAAACATTTAAAATTGAATAACAAGTACCAAATATCCCAACACGTGTAACAGCCCAATCTGCCTAATTAACAACAGGCACAGAAAATTTAAATGCTTCCCTACAATATTTGATCTTTGAAACAGTATGATGACAAAGGTGCTTGGATTCTCAAAGCACTATGTGAAGAACAAACCGGTGCGTGGTTCATCTGTTTCAATTATTCCTGCAGTCACAGTGCCTCATCAGAATGGAAAGATTAATTTATCATTCCCATCCAACATGAGTGGATGAAAATGAAACCTATATAAATAGAGCAATATCGCCACATAACTACCCCACCAATTATGTCAATGCTCAGAGAATTCATATTGAATGAGGAGCTCTGGTATCACTGCAATTGCAGAACTGGAAGATGGTGAATGTCACCCCAAATATTCAAAAAAGAATATCCCAATAACATAGCCCAATAATATATGCATCTTATGTTTATGTGTAAAGTGCAAAATCTACAAGGAGTATTTAGCATGGATTTAGAAACCACTTAGAAGCAAATGGTTTTCATCCTACAATATCCTGTAGCATATTGGTCAAAGCATTCGCCTCGCAAGCGAGAGAACCTGGGTTCGATTCCCAGACAGGATGAAACCTTAGACAAGTTTCTTTACTCCACAGGCTTCTATTTTATTATTATTATTATTATTTACCTAGCAGTAAGTAGGACCCTGGTTGTTAGTTGATTGGAAGAGCACTTTCCGGGGGTAACATCTGTAGCTCAGTGGTTAGAGTACTCGCCTCGCAAGTGAGAGACCTGGGTTCATATTCCCGGCAGAGCAAAACTTTGGGCAAGTTTCCTTACTTTACAAACCTGATAATAAACTCTCAAGAAAAAACTCAAAACAATAATAAATTGGTCACTTCAATCCACAACTGTTTGTGAGACACTGCTGGGCGCAATTGGATGCCGCGTTTCGTCCACAAATATACAGTCAATTCAGTTTACAGTATATTCTGTGAAGCGCTTTGAGACATCTATTATTATTATTATTATAAGGATATTCATGTATTGAAGAGAGTTAAAAGTGAACCAATGATCTGAAAAAAATAGAAATTCGACCTGGGCTTATATTTACTCTAAATTTTAGTTGGGAGAATTCACAAATTCCTAAATACAGTCTTAATTTTAAAGCTGATTTTCTACAAATTCTTTTAAGAACCAAAGCAAACCCAGCTTCAAAGTCAAGACTTGATTTGAAATAAATGGAATGAAATATATTGAATGAGCTATAAATAGAGTAAACCTAAACTATTGGGAATTTCTTTTCAATAGTGCTTTAAGTTATCAGGAGAGAGTTGCACAAGTACAAAATGAACCAGCTTGAAGAAGGTACCTCCTTGAAGAAATAGAACTTATCAAGAGGATAGGTGAAAGCAATACCTAGGGTTATTGACTTATCGTACCTTTTCGGAGTGGTGGAAAGAACACAGCAAAAATATCTATCCAATAGGAACATACTTTCTCCTAAATTTCATGTGTATAAATGCAATACCATATAATTTACATTTATATAATGTCAGTCATGTTGGGAGGATGTCCCAACGCACTTTATACTGCTGGCTGGACATGGAATTTGGAACTGACAGAGATTAGCATTTATTATTGGGCTATATTTGTTCATAAAACAAATGTACAGCAGTTACAAATATAAATTAGCACTTTCTATATGGGGTAGAGCACAAACCTACTCACTGAGATACACTGTCACTTCAAATCCCATTTGAGACATTGCTCTGGAGTGAGCCTCTGACTTTGAACGGTCAGCTTCAGAGCAATGTTTAATCGGTAAAATTTGTGATATTTTAAAAACATTCCTTGGATTGTGTTATTACGTTTCTCCCATAGGAGTGAGATTTGTGATCAAGAAGAATGAGATAGATTGGAAGCTCATGAATATACATGGAATTGTGTTTATTTTTTTCAGGTGTTAGCCTGGCTCAATTTGTCTAAATTGTGGGACTTTGAATTCAGTCTCGGTTGACTTTCCAATGTAGCTTTGGGGGTACTGCTGCATTATCAGAGGTGATGTTCTTTGAATGAGTTCATGAAACTGGATATTTTTCCTACAAAATATCAGAATGCCAGGATTATCCGCTACTCCCCCTCTGTCCTTGTCTCCCACCGTCCTCCCCGCTCCCTCTTGGGGATGCCATCCGCAGACATGGGCTACATTTCCACATGTATACAGACGACACCCAATTCTATTTTTCCACCTCACTTTGTGACCCCCAGTCCCCTGATGTTCTGTCAGCACTGCCTGTCAGACCTCAGGAGCTGGATAAGCACAAATTTCCTTCAGCTGAACGTTGACAAGACAGAAGCCATACTCTTTGGCTGTCGTCAACGTCTAAAATCTCACGGTTCTCACCTCCTCCACTTACCCGACCTCCCCCTAAAACTCTCCGAACCCGTATGCAACCGAGGCATCAGGTTCGACCCCCAATTATTCTTCCTCCCCCACATCCAGTCCCTCACCAGCACCGCCTTCTTTCATCTCCGACGAATCACCCGTCTCTGCCAATACCTCTCTCCGAAAGTCGCTGAAACCCTGGTCCATGCCTTTGTCACCTCTCGGCTGGACTATTCAAACGCCCTCCTCGCCGGCCTCCCATCCACTGCCATCTATAAAATCCAAATCATTCAAAACTCTGCCGCCCCCATTCTCACCCGCACCAAACTCCGCTCCCCGATCACCCCAGTCCTTGCCAGACTGCACTGGCTGCCTGTCCCAGAGAGGATCGATTTCAAGGTTCTCACCCTTGTATTCAAATCCCTCCACTCCTCTGGACCCCCTACCTCTCTGACCTCCTCTCTCCTCAGCACAGTACCCGTTGCCTTCGTTCCTCCGGGTCTGGCCTCCTCCTTCTCCCCCCCCCCCCCAAGTCCTCCACCCCACCCTCGGCAGCCGTGCCTTCAGCCACTATGCCCCGAGACTCTGGAACTCCCTTCCTCACTCACTTCACCTCGCTTCCTCTCTTCCTATTTTCAGGTCTCTACTGAAGAGCTTTCTTTTCGACCGCGCCTTTAGTCACTTTCCTCCCCCTCCCCCCGGCTCGGCCCCGGGATCCGTTACTGTGAAGCGCTCTGAGACGCCGTCCGGGTGGAGGGCGCTATATAAATCCAAGTTGTTGGTGGTGTTGTTATTATTATTAAATTGAGGTCTTGTCTGCCTGTTCAGTTGGATGTCACTATTACACGTTATTATTTTATCCTCCAGATAAAACAGATCATTCACTTCATGACTGTTTGTGGGACATTGCTGTGTACAAATTGTCTTTTGTATTTGCTTACAAATACAAGTACAGTAACTACCCTTTACAGTAAAATCAGTGAAACCCTTTGATGACGTGATGAAGCGCCTTATCAAATGCAAGGAATGTTGACTGCAACAACAACAAATTGCAATTATGAATCCTCGTTTCACGCCAGGAGGACGTCCCAAGACGCTGGATATCATTTTGCAAGAGTGATACACATCAAAAACAGATTGCAATATTGAAGTGAAAAAGAGCGTAAGTCGCTGTCAACCTTTGCGATGAAATTGTCCCTCTTCTCTTCCCAACCAGTGGAGAACAGGACTCAAAAGCACATCTGGTATTTTGCAACACAATGGATGGATGGTCCACATTCAGCAACTGGGGGAAGAGGAATTAAAAATATTCACCTGAAGCAAAAGCACATTTTTTGGGGGGGGAACATATGTGCGTAAAAAAAAAAATTCCTACTGAGGTGAGAGGCTGTTAAAAAAAAAAAGAATCAGGAGACCCAGACCTGAGGTCTGTGCCCCTCAATGATCAATATGAAGAGCAGGACCGCCCTCCCACAGTGTCTGTGCTGCTGCTGCTGCTGTCTCGCCCCCGGAAAGCTCCGACCCGGACACTGCCGCCGGGGCGCCGCTGACTGTCGGATGAGTTTAGGTGTTGCAATCGGTCCGGAAAGCTGAAGATTTCGGAACCCCCCAAAAAAGTCAAAATGTTTACAACGAGAGAGAAATAGAGAGAAATGGAGAGAGGAGTGAGAGATACACAGAGAGGGACACAGGGAGAGAGGGAGTGAGAGATACACAGAGAGGGACACAGAGAGAGAGTGAGAGATACACAGAGAGGGACACAGGGAGAGATACACAGAGAGGGACACAGAGAGAGAGGGAGTGAGAGATACACAGAGAGGGACACAGGGAGAGAGAGAGAGGGAGTGAGAGATACACAGAGAGGGACACAGGGAGAGATACACAGAGAGGGACACAGAGAGAGAGGGAGTGAGAGATACACAGAGAGGGACACACACACACAGAGTGAGAGATACACAGAGAGAGAGTGATACACACACACACACAGAGTGAGGCTATGGCGGGTAACTTCTGGCAGAGCTCACACTAGTAAGTGACACAGGGCGGCCGGGGCCCGGGGCCGGGGCTCGGGGTTGGGGCCGGGGGTTGGGGCTCGGGGGTTGGGGCTCGGGGCCGGGGATGGGGCCGGGGCTCGGGGTTGGGGGTTGGGGCCGGGGGTTGGGGCTCGGGGGCCGGGGGTTGGGGCTCGGGGGCCGGGGGTTGGGGCTCGGGGCCGGGGGTTGGGGCTCGGGGCCGGGGGTTGGGGCTCGGGGCCGGGGTTGGGGCCGGGGGTTGGGGCTCGGGGCCGGGGGTTGGGGCTCGGGGGTTGGGGCTCGGGGCTCGGGGTTGGGGCCGGGGGTTGGGGCTCGGGGCCGGGGGTTGGGGCTCGGGGCCGGGGGTTGGGGCTCGGGGCCGGGGGTTGGGGCCGGGGGTTGGGGCCGGGGTTGGGGCTCGGGGATGGGGCCGGGGGTTGGGGCTCGGGTTGGGGCCGGGGGTTGGGGCCGGGGTTGGGGCTCGGGGTTGGGGCCGGGGTTGGGGCTCGGGGTTGGGGCTCGGGGTTGGGGCTCGGGGATGGGCCGGGGGTTGGGGCTCGGGGTTGGGGCCGGGGGTTGGGGCCGGGGGTTGGGGCTCGGGGTTGGGGCCGGGGGTTGGGGCTCGGGGTTGGGGCTCGGGGTTGGGGCTCGGGGCCGGGGTGGGGCCGGGGGTTGGGGCCGGGGGTTGGGGCCGGGGGTTGGGGCTCGGGTTGGGGCCGGGGGTTGGGGCTCGGGGTTGGGGCCGGGGGTTGGGGCTCGGGGCCGGGGGTTGGGGCCGGGGGTTGGGGCTCGGGGCCGGGGGTTGGGGCTCGGGGGTTGGGGCTCGGGGCTCGGGGTTGGGGCCGGGGGTTGGGGCTCGGGCCGGGGTTGGGGCTCGGGGCCGGGGGTTGGGGCTCGGGGCCGGGGGTTGGGGCCGGGGTTGGGGCCGGGGTGGGGCCGGGGATGGGGCCGGGGGTTGGGGCCGGGGTTGGGGCTCGGGGTTGGGGCCGGGGGTTGGGGCTCGGGGTTGGGGCTCGGGGGGGGTTGGGGCCGGGGGTTGGGGCCGGGGGTTGGGGCCGGGGGTTGGGGCTCGGGGTTGGGGCTCGGGGTTGGGGCTCGGGGCCGGGGGTTGGGGCTCGGGGTTGAGGCCGGGGGTTGGGGCTCGGGGCGGGGGTTGGGGCTCGGGGTTGAGGCCGGGGGTTGGGGCTCGGGGCCGGGGGTTGGGGCTCGGGGTTGAGGCCGGGGGTTGGGGCTCGGGGCCGGGGGTTGGGGCTCGGGGTTGAGGCCGGGGGTTGGGGCCGGGCCGGGGCTCGGGGCCGGGGCCGGGGGTTGGGGCCGGGGCGGGGCCGGGGCTCTGTGGTGGCCGTTGGCTGTACACCGTGTCAGTACCTGGAGCCCTGGCCCCGCCGCTGGAGGAGCTGAGGCTGTGCGGTCCTCTGTCTCTGTTCGGGGTTTTTTTTCCTTTTTTTAAAAAAAAAATTGTTGTGGGAGGAACAGGTGCGGTTTGTTATAATTACTGTGAGATTACAACAACAACAACAACAACAATGTTACATTTGTTTCGGGGTCTTTCACGTCGGGAGGATGTCCGCGAGGCGCTGGACAACCTGAGTTTGGGACCCGAGCCGGGGGTCGGGGAAGGCGGAGGGGCTGAGAAGGACGGTGACCGAGGGCACGGTCGAGGAGGAGGGTCGTGACGGAGGCGAGGGAGGGGGCGAGGCCGAGGGACTGCGGGAGAGAGTCCCACAGGGTGAGGGCAGCGCGGCTGAAGGGTCTCCCGCCAACGATGGGGCGGGTGGGGCGGGGGACGTGATGCAGGCCGGAGCCCGCTGAGCGGAGGGAGCGGGCAGGTTGGTAAGGGGTTAGGAGGTCGCAGAGGTAGCGGGGAGCGAGGCCATGGCGGCTTTGAAGGTGAGGACCAGGATCTTGAACTGTATCCTCTGTGTGATGGGAAGCCAGTGGAGTTGGGCGAGGATGGGGGTGATTGGGTCATGGAGTTTGGTGCGGGAGAGGACATGGGCTGCAGAGTTCTGGATGATCTGCAGCCTGTGGAGGGAGGAGTTGAGGAGGCCGACAAGCAGTGAGTTTGTGTCGTCGAGCCTCGATGCTGTGAATGAATGTATGGGGTCTTGGCGGTCTGCGGTGTGAGACAGTGGAGGAGCCGGGCCATGTTGCGGAGGTGGGGGAAGGCAGAGCGGATCACGGCACGGATGTGGGGTAGAAAGGATAGTTGAGGGTCAAACAAGATGCCAAGTTTCCGGACTGGCTTAGTAAGGTGGAGTGTGCATCCTTGGATGACACATTACAAAATAATGTGTCAGCCTGGCTCAGTTGGTAGTGCTTTCACCTCTTGAGTTACAAGATTGTGGGTTCAAGCTTCCTGTCAGGATTTTGAACTCACAAAGTCACGCTTGAATGCAGTGCTGGAGGTGCCATCCTTCACAAAATAATAATCCTTGCATTTGATATAACGCCTTCTCACGTCGATGAGATGTCTCAAAGCGCTTCACAGGATACACGGTAAACCTTTTAAATCTGGCACTTCAGGAGGGATTGACAAGATTCAAAGAGAAGTGAGTTTCTCCCAGTATCGTGGCCAACAGTCCCCTAGATTATTCACTTTGTGGCTTTTTGTGGCACTTTGCTGTGCACAAATTGGCTGCCCCATTTGTGTGGGGCGGTTGCTGCGCTTTGCAGTAAATCCTGTGAAGCATTTTGAGACATCCCCCTCATGTGAAAGGTGCAAGGATTATTAAATTCAAGATTCTTGTTACTACTTATTTGGATGTCATCTGCTTCATTCTGTATTTTGACCAATGTTTAACGTACTTCTCTTGTTGTTATCTCTTTAATATTGTTCTGTTTTTTCTGCAGTTTGCAGTGGATTCTTGACAAGCAGGATGTGATGAAAGAAAGGCAGAAGGACTTGAAGTTTCTCACAGAAGAAGAATATTGGAAATTGCAGATATTTTTTGCTAATGGTAGTGTTGTTACTGGTATTATGTTTCCTAGTAGATAACGCATTTGGCTAACTAAAGAGAAGGACGTTTCTTGCCAACAATCTTGTGGGACTTTACTGTTTGCAAATTGTCTGCATGTTCATCTAGAGAATATACACACACTATACTTTACAATAAAATCCTGTGAACTGTGTTGACATGTCCTCTTGATGTGGAAAAAGCGCTGCATTAAATGAAAGGATTATCGCTATAGGTGAGAGAAACGTTGACATCATTCAGTGATGATTTGCTATTTTGGTAATACTTTGGTGATAAAGTGCAAGATTTCTTTAGTTTCAGAACTTTGTGAATACATGCAGTACTGATGCTCTCAAATTAATTGTATATTTTAAATTAATTTCTGGATCTTAATTTTTCCATATGAAAAAATAATAGCTGCTTATTTCTCCTGTAAAATCCTGAAGAGTTTGAAATAATAATTATCTTTACATTTGATATAGTGTCAGGGGGACATCTCAAAGTACTTCACAGGATATCTTGTAAAGTGTAATGATTGTCTGGAGGGCAGAAATACATATACCTTTGCAAAGTAATATATATTTATTTCCTTTCATTTTGAATTTTTACTGTCAAAAATAAATCCGAGACCTGGATGTAGGGTTGTTTCCAAATATTCACTTCATGGATGATGTGTATCATTGAAGGGGAAATATTTTTTATTGCCAACAGTAATCCAAGCTCTAGGGGAACACCTCAAACTGAGGCAGCAGGTTATTGCAACTGCGACAGTCTATTTCAAAAGATTCTATGCCAGGTAAGGTGCTTTAATATAACGTGTGTGTGTATCTATATGTATATATAGATATATATAAACAAAACACATTTCTGTATTAAACTGTTTGAACGGTGTATAATCAGAGTGTCTACTCGATGCAAGAACTTTCACATAGGGATTGTGGGCTTTGTATGTCGTTCAAGGTCATGTGCACAATACTTAACTGCGCACGGTAACCGCGTCTATTGACATACATGGTGTGTTTGTTGCTTGTACAGCATAACGGATAGCTGGAGCAGCTATCTTTATAGTGTTTTTTCTGTGCAGATGGAGAACACCTCCATTTTGAATGATCTACCAATAATGTGTATGCATCCTTTATGGATCCACTCTACAGCAAGCTTATTTTGTAAGAACAACAACTTGAATTCAACTACTACTTGAATGTATGTAGTGCTCCTCATGCATTTTGGAGTGATTTGATTGTGCTGTTCAAACATAGTGCTGTAGTTATTAAGAGAGATTGGATAATATTTGTACAATCAATGTACTTGATCGAAGGGCCAGCATGACCGACAGTTTTGTAGATTATAATGTCTATCCCTTGGAATATCCAAATATTGGATCCTAACTGAAACTGTTCGCTGTATTGTTTATACAATTTAAGAACTTTTAACAATTTCTGTTCTTTCCTCATACCTTTCCTAAAGGTATGGGCTGAAGATTTTCTCCAAAGCCTTCACCGACCTACAGCAGGCTGGGGAGGAGGGTGGAGATTCAAAAGCAGCCGCAGGAATGAACATTATTTTGAGTAGCCTGATCTGCTTATCTCCACTAGGTCACCAACTCCAGGATGACCTAGTGGAGATAAGGAATGTGCTTCAAGGAAATTTCATAATGAACCTACACATACCACATCTCAATATAGAGGGAGGTATATGTGGTGATAATTGGGGGAGGGGGGAGGAGGAAGAAACACAGTTGCAAGAGATCACTTGTTTGCTGTTGGTACTTGCTGGTAGTTCTGACTAAGTAAATGCCTAGATTCTGATTAAATACAATTCTTTTTAGGATACAGAAATTGTACTTTTTGTTATTTAAAGCTGAATTTGAATGAAGTTTAGTTTTATTTGCATAACATTCTCCATGCATTTTAGAATCAGTTCCTTGTTTCTTTAAATTCAAGGACATAACATCATTCTGTCTTCAATAATAGTGCAGTATTGTGGAGGGCCGATTAAGTGATTGTTTCCCTGTCTACTTTGAAATCTGCGATGAACTGAATTATGTCTTATTTTTGTGTTTTAATAATCAGAACACCAGTATTTTTAATTACATTTTTAAGTATAACAAGATGTTGTGCATATGTTAAGTGTGCTATTGCATCATCAACCAAATGTTTATCAAAGCTAAGCAGTGACTTGTATTGTGCTTTAGTGATTTGAATATTAATGTAACTTTTTTTTAATATAATTTCAGGTATTCACTGAGGAGTATAGATCCAGTATTGATGGCTCCAACCTGTGTATTTTTGGCATCTAAAGTAGAGGTACTTTGAAATGATATTTTTTTTCTGAATTTAGTTTATAATTATGAATATAATTAGATCAGATTATCAGTCATTTAAGCACTTATTCAACTGAGGATTTTATAGAGCATTTCTATATATTTGTAAAAAGGTACATTGTGTGTAATTGATATTCTGTTACATGGCCTTTAAAGGGCTCACATTTAGGCATTAATTGTTTATGAAGTGCAATAGTTGAATTTTAAATTGAGATTAATACATGCAAATTACCTTGTTTTATAATCTGTATGCTGTGCTATATAGGGCAGTTTTCTATATTTCCAGTCTTTACCCTGAGACTCAAGTATGTTGCTTCCCATATATGCAAATTTGTCTTAAAACAGTAATGTGATAAATGAGCTAGAAATATGTTTAGGAGATTATTAATGTATTTTGGCCAATAAAGATTTTATCTCACTAGGTATACAGCCTTGGCTGCAAGGGGTTAAAATCAAATTCAGGCCCATTCAAGTCATAATGGACATGGAGTGCATGTAATAACACCGGCTCTTTTTATTTTCTAGGAATTTGGAGTTGTTTCAAACACACGATTGATTTCAGCTTCAACTTCAGTCTGTGAGTTCATTTTCTTTGCAAACAAAATCTGAAAATTTCAGAATTAAATCTCTTTTGAGACTGTAAAGCACTGGGTATCGTAAACGTTTAGAGGATTGTTCATGTGAAGTAGTTAAATCTTATGTTATGCAAGTGAAGGAAAGTGCATATGCCAGGAACAGTTACGGTGAGTTTTACGGGATTTTTTTCACAAGTGACGTGAACATAACATTTAGCAGCTTCAATATGGTCCACATTTGAATCACATTATAAGCGAACCTGTGTTGTAACTAAGCATGCTGTAATAGGAATTATCATGTGTAATTATACATATAAAGTATATTTTGAAAGGTGCATTTTCATGTTTCCTACCTATACTACATTGTGATTTTATTTCCTATGTTTTATGCACAGAGAAAAAGTAGATAAAACCTGTACTGCACACATTATTAGAAATCTGGTGGTTTTTCACTTAGTGTTTTGCTTAACATACTAATATATAATTTCTTTTTGAAATGCAGTAAAAACCAGGTTTTCTTATGCATTTCCGAAGGAATTTCCATATAGAATGAACCATGTAAGTATTACTTTCTTGTCTATATGTCTAAAACATTATACCTGATCAGACCATTGGTCTTTGAGCTGCTTGTTTGTTGAATTGAAGTTGATCAAGGCTCCTCGCCCCTTGGCCAGTCATGGAAGTGATGATTAATTTTGGGTGGGGTGTGTAAAATGTGTGTACAATGTTGTAAGAGATTGTTACATGCCATTCTTGTTTCATAGGAGTCTGGGGAATTAATTACGTTAACAAAACAGAGAATTTGGGGCTTGGAGTCCTTGAAGATTTAAGATCTATCTGTTAAATATTTTTTAATTTCAGGAATTCCTGTAAGAAGTGCTGATGTAATGATCTGAAATGCATGACAGATTTTAGCATTAGGTTTTTCTCACTTTTAGATATCGTGTTTTATATCATTTATTATCAATCTTAATATTAAACTACAAAATATTTATTCAATATTTTAAATTCTTTGCACCACAGGATTTTAATTTTTAAAAAAATTCCTTATGTATAATTCACTTAAATTATCTATTACATTATTACATTCTTAGTTCATTTGTTATATTAATAATGGAACCCTCAATCAGGGCGCTTTGTTTAAAAAAAACACACTAGGTCTGGATATTTGGATTAGTAATGTTACTCTTTGCCAGTTTTATGTGCCACACTGTAATAGTCTCTCCTTTCTCTAATGTGAGGAACACTGCAGCAGATATAATAGAGCTTCCAGCAGTGGTGCATACACACATAGGTCTATCAACTATTACTCTCTTTTAAATGTACTGGTGCCCTGCACTGTTCATATACTTCCCTCATAACATATAAAAACAAATACAAGCATTTACAAAGCATATGATGCAGTATTTTCTTTTCAGGTATGTGATATGCTGTCATAAATAATGTGGTGGATACATTTCATTAAAAATGCTGCTACATTGGTTTCTCTTCCTTTGTATTGGTGTGTGTGTGTGTCCGTGTGTGAAACTCAGCAAAAAATTTTATAGTTGGATTCTAGAAAAGTTTTTCAAACAAAAACTTTTAATAGGAAAGCTTTGAGTGTGACCATTGGTATAAACCCTGACAGTGAGAACAATTTGGTTACTTTCCCAGAAAATCCAGGTGAGTGGAACAGAAAGAGTGATCTAGTTTTTGTATACCCCATAACATTAAATTTAGAGAGATTTAGTGGACAGGATTTCCATAAATCAACATTGCAGAACCAAAAGCATTAGTTTTCTGTCTTCATCTTATTCTCTCTCCCTTCTTTTAGAGTTTCCCTGTGGCGTGTCCTTTTGATCTGCCAAGAGGGTTGGCACATTGCTTGCTCCCAGGCCTTTGCCAGTGGTGCTATTGTACCAATGCTTCATTTTAGAACATAACTCTTTCTCCTCCTCCCCCGCCCCAGCCCAAAAGTGAATGTGCCAACATCCTGTTCCATCTGGTTGTTGAAACGTTTGCCAGAAATAAATCAACATAAATAGATCATTTCTCTTTACTGTGACAGTTAATATCTTCCCTGATGCTTTTCCTGCATATTTTCTTGCATTTTCTTGTTCCCCTTTTGAAAGAAAATCTAAGGAGAGCATCAGAACATTTGAATATTCTTTTGATAGAGTGACTGAAATAATCTGACTTGTGAGTGCTGCTTTGTGAATTGTTTTTAATTTAATACTTCACAGATATTGGAATGTGAATTCTATCTATTAGAGTTAATGGTAAGTGTTTTGGCTTTCATTTTTCTGTGTTTTTATTTACATCAATGTGAGGTATTTCAGTGGCTATGACTGAAATGCTTTCCCATTTCAGACATCAAGCCCTCCCAAGACAGATACTACAAACTTTCTCCAGAAAAAAATCTACCTTCTAATCTGCCCAACTGTGTGTTTTAGCCACAAATTCAGAAGAAAATCCTATACATAGCACTAGTCTAATATTATTATTTTCCACACCAGACAACATTTCTGGGAAGTATTTTATTGATGCGAGCCTGTACACATATTAGAAACTGATTGAAACTGTCCATATTTATTTCAAGTAAAACTCATAGATTCTGGAAAGAAAGAAGACTTCATGTAATCATTCTGGGCTGGATTTGAACCTAGGTCAAGTGGTGAAAGGGTAGTGTGCTATCTTACTGCTTTATGTTGATGGTGTCATTTATTGTACCTCTTTCTTTTGTTTTCTGTTAGGATTGCTGTCTGATAGTGTACCATCCATACAGACCATTACTACAATATGTGCAAGATATGGGACAAGAAGACATGCTGCTACCATTAGCATGGTAAAGGCTTATACTTGATTGTCAATGTTTTGTAGTCTTTGTAGTGGTAGTAATGATAATAATCCTTGCATTTGATATGGTATCTTATCACATTGTTGAGACATCTCAAAGTGCTTCACAAAATATATTGTAAAGTGGATTGACTGTGTATTATGTGGGCGAAATGCAGTAGCCAATTGCACACATCAATGTCCCACAAACATTGAGTGACCACTTTTTTTGAGAGATTATTACACCTGGAAATTGATCCGCCAATGGACGAACAACCAGGTTCCCACTTCCTGCTAGGTAAACAGAGGCACGTGGAGTAAGGAAACTTACCCAAGGTTTCACCCCGCCTGGGACTGAACCGGGGTCCTCTTGCTCGCAAGGCAAGAGTTTGAACCACTATGCTACGGGACTCTTAGGCCATGTTTCTTATGTCTTGTTTCTCACAATCGGAACTGTTCTGGTTTTAAAGGCCTGTTCACAAAACTGTTAGTTAGAGAAATTCTTAGAAGAGTAACTCTGCTATCCACTGAAGATTGGTTGCTTTCATGTTTCTCAGTAGACTGGAGTTGATGAGAGGAAAGGATATTCTGTTTTGTTCAATAAGTGTAGAAAATATTTTGATGTGCACCTATTATAGAAATTTTGAGTTCAAATTCTAGGGGAGTGCTGCATTGTTCAAAGTGGCAGATGAACTATTAAACCAAGGTTCTCTCTGCCTCCTGGTTTTAATGCTTCTGATGGTGCTGGGTTTCTGCATGTGTCAAATACCCAGCTGGCCAAAAAAAAACTTATTTTATCAGATCAGACTTGTTGAGTATGATAAAGGAACTCAAATAGCAGCTCTTCTTGAATGTCCTTGGTCTGCAGCAGTGCTGAAAAATGAAATGGTATCCTTTTCTTTTTGTTCTTTTGTTAGTGTAGTATGTACATAGAGAATATTATTTCGATAGTAATTGTATTGGGAGTTTATAGGATTTCCACTTTAGTGACATGCACTACGTTTGAACAGGCGCTTTGCTTTGCTCATCAGGGGTATGTTTAGCATCTTTCTATATGGCTGCTCTTTTGTTGAGGGCTGTTCTCTTTCACTTTAAGTTTACACCTTTTCCTTTGTTTTAAATACCAGTGAAATACAGCCCATTAGTATTACTGTCTGTACTTTGTGGAGAAGCCTAGAATTCAGTGAGGAACAAGCAAAATATTGTTTCCCCCTTGCTGGAAAATGACTGTTTTTCAACTAGCACTTGTCTTTAACAAACTGCAAAGGGAAATGTACCTTTCTACAATGCAATTTGCTTGGTTGAGTAATGTGTTGGATCACTGAAATTCTATGCATTGATTTAAAGGCCAGTGTGTTTTTCAGGGTACATGTACTAAGTTACATTTTATATAAAATTGTATTGCATTACACTGATGAGCACATTTTAAGATTTTGTTGCTGCTTGTCCCCAATTATTTGAGGGAGACCATAAATGCAAGCAATTTGGTTTGGATATACTATTGGTAAACTTGTCTGATCTCAAATTATTTTGCTTTGAATTTAGACCAATGATCTTATTTTGTTTCTCCAATTGTGTCCTGAACTACAAAAATTACTGACTTCTGGGTCCCAGTACCCTGGGACATCTTTCTGACGTGAAGGACAATTACAAGTGTAATCTGTTGTAAGGAGTGTGAGCTGGGCTTAGTTAGTAGTACATCACCTCTGAGTCAGAACATTGTGGGTTCAAGCCACAGCTTGGAGGTGCTTCCAGGTGTTGACTCTGAACTTATATACACTAGCTGACACTCGAATACAGTGCTCGGGTGTACTGCGTTGCGAGAGGTTCCTTCAGATTAGACCTTAAATCTGTTGAGGTGGACATCAAAGATCCCGTGGCACTATTTAAAAAGAGAAGGGAGTTTCTCCCTGTGTCCTGGCCAACAATTCTTCAGGTAAAATTGGTTACTCACTTCATGGATGTTTGTGGGACGTTGCTATGTGAAATTCGCTGCTGCTCTCATTTACTAAAAATAATTTGCTCAAAAATACAATCAATCCACTTTACAATATATCCTGTGAAGCGCTTTGAAACATCTCGACAATGTGATAAGGCGCTGTATCAAATGGAAAGATTATTATTATTTGTAATAAATCCATTCTCCTTGCATGAAAAGCAATATATCAAATGAAGGATCATCATTATAATCTATGCATGCCTTCGGGTCCCTGGTTGGCTGTGGACAGGTATGACCTCTAAAATTGATGTTAGATGTTTAGCTATGAGAATTAATTTTGCTTGATTTGGAGAAATGGAAACCTAACTATAGGCAAGTAACATTTAGTTCTGCCAAAAGGTTTATTGGAAATGGCACAACTTCAGTTTATAATTGTTGGCCGAATATCATTCTAGATTTTTTTTCAGATGTTATTAGAAACCAAATATTTTGCTACCTTAAGTTGCAACTCATGCTAAAATGTGTTAATCTATTCAATTTAACTTTCTCAAATCTGTGCAGGAGGATAGTAAATGATACATACAGAACAGACCTCTGCCTCATGTATCCTCCATTCATGATAGCTTTGGGTAAGTCTATTTGTTCAACTGCAATAAAGTATGTTGGGATTTGTTAGCATTAAATCTGAATATGTCATTCTCCCAGGCATTTTATACCTGAGATTAACTGAATGATGTGCATAACCAAATGATTCTAGTAACAAAATGCCCCCTCCCTGTCTTAGTATAATTGCACATACTAATTTTGAACTGCTATTCTAGATAGCTAAACTTAGGTATTAATTTGAAAAGCAAGATTACTTATGAGATAGTAAATTGTACCAATAATTTACTTTCAGGGACTACAATTGTCTCTTGAAAGCACAGTCGCACACATGCTAAGTGAATAAGACTAATTGGGGTGTGACAAAATTGTATTAGCATGTTGGTATCTGACATTCATTTCTTACATTGGAATCAGCACTTGTAAATCTAAGAATCCTAACTATTAGTTGCATGTTGGGAATGCAATAAGAACACAGCTTTCTTCAATTCTGGCGTGGAGTGAGGCGAACATGAAAATATACTTTGTAGAAAGGATGTTTTAGTGGACAGTAAATTAAATGCTTTGATTTCTCTACAGCTTGTTTGCACGTGGCATGTGTGGTCCAGCAAAAAGATGCACGACAATGGTTTGCTGAACTTTCAGTGGACATGGAGAAGGTGATGGAACTCTGAATCAGACATGAGCATGTTCTCAAAATGTAGTTTTAATATCAGTTAACCATGTTATCATTCTATAAGAGCAGGGGAGTGGGACTGATTGAGTAGCTCTTCCAAAGAGCCGGCACAGGCACAATGGGCCGAATGGCCTCCTTCTGTGCTGTAATACTCTAGGATTTCGTGTTCCAATTTATCAATGATCCAATTTGGAAAATAGGTTTGGAAGAAAATGGCTATTATAAGGGCAACAGAATCTCCATTGTAGAGTCAACACCTTTTTCATTGTTAGAAAAAGAACTTGCGCTTCATCATGCCTCAAAGTGCTTCAGATGATTACTTCAACTGTAGCTTTGTATTTGTAAACAAATGTGGCATCCACTTACTGAATAGAAACGTTCCAACACAATCAAGAGACAGATGACCAATTAAACTGGAGTTTTATTGAGCAGGACATGGGTATAGCCTCCCTTCTTTCCAATCATGCCATGGATTTTTATCCAGTTTATAACTCCCATATATTTACAGTCTTCGGGAACTACTTTGTGCACAGCAAGGAAGTTCAGAAGTAGGGAACTGAATTTCCACAACAGTTATTCAGTGATTAAAATATTTCCTGAGATGTTGTCTAAGTCCATTTTTGTGTGTGTATGAAATTGTCAACTTTTCCATAAGAATTAAGTTCTTTGTTTTTATTTTTTTTCTCCAATAAATTCCTGGAGTATTCTTCCATTCCTTCCTGATTGTTTTAAAAGGAAAAGCTAAATAGGTTAAATGGGCTTTTCCTGCTCCTAAAAAGCTCTTAATTACTGATTTTTCACATGAACGTTGACAGACATACCAACTCACGATTTCCTAAAATCTTGCGATTTTTGTGAGTCTCATGAGATTTGGTTCTGTGCACTTCTTTCAGCTGCACATGAAGATGTATGCTGTGGTCTGTAGTCTTTTCCCTCCTCCTTTCTTCTCCAGTACACCACAAGAAGGTAAGTCACACAAGTAGTCATTTTTTTTACACACATGTCAGTGAGAAAATTGATAGAATTCTTTGTAACCCTGAATTCACTTCCCCTCCTGAATTATAATATTTTTCCGATTTTTTTAATATAGTTTCTATATTTTTAAAAGAAACATTGCCAATGAAGCTTCTGCTTAGATTTTTTAAAATTAAATTGATTTCAATTATATTGAAAGAGACCATCAGTTTCGTTGTCCAGCTCCTTTTTGATCATTGTCTGCTTTCTAAATGAAATGGTAATAACTTTATGCCTGCTTCCTGCGCAGATATAATCTTCCTGTGAGGCTGTTTAGAGAAATTTCAGTTTTGCTGAAGAATGCAATGTGCATACGAGATGACAATAGTCGGTCATTTGGTGCAAGTGAACTACTAAACTAACTTTGCAACGGTGTACAAACAATTAACCCAGAATATTTAAATATTTTTGTTGTATAGAGCAGGTGATACATTGGGGATGTAAAATATTTCTTATAGTTCTCGTACTGTCTGAGTTTTAATGCAGTCTCTTCATTTAAGGCCCCAAGTAAATGTGTCCATCCAGTCAAGAACTCTTTACAAATCTTTGTGAGATTTTGCGTTAGATTAGTTGTGATTGAAGGTTATGGCATCGAGCCCCACGTAGAGATTTTGAGGTCACAGTCCAGGCTTGAAATCCCAGACAGTGCAGTGTGGGGGAGTGCTGACTTCATATAAGACCATAAACCAAGGTCCCGTCCCGTCTGCCAGTTCAGGCGAATGTTAAAAGTTCTGACACTATTTGAAAAAAGTGAAGGGATTCTTCCAGTGTCATGGTCAATAATCTTCCAGATAAATTGATCATTCACTTCATTGGCTGATTGTGGGTCTTTGCTGTACATAAATTGCCTGCCATGTTTGCTACAAATAAACAGTCACAACACTTGATGTCAATTACCTATGAAGCACTTTGAGATATTTCAATGCTGAAGGCATTGTAGCAAATCCAGAGACTACTATTATCATTATTACTGCATCAATCTTATTCATAGTGACAATAGAAATGCCACTTTGGTAAAAGAGAAAAGGCTGTGCAGATGTTTTGATTTATGGGAAACCTTCCTGATACTATGTCAATGTGTACATAAACTGAGAAAAGGTTCAGTTTCCCAATTTGGCCCTCTTTTATGTCAGTTGTTTGCCTATCTGTGCTCCTGCAATACACCTGCTTCTCTCTGGATCCATGCATAGGCACTCTTTGTCACATCTGGAGGTATAGTTGTACTGTATTATAAGCTGTTGTACTAATATTTCTGGTAAACATTATCAATTAATTTATCAATCAGGGAGTTAATTCTCTGTTCTCTTATTTGAATCTCTATTAAAGTATGTTTTAATACACCCATTCCAACTGAAGAACCCCAGTAGTTTCTGCTGTATAAATATAAATGTATACATTTTAAAATTCTGGTCCTTGTTTCTATTTACACAGATCCTCGAGATAATCCGAGTCATTCTGAAGTTGTATGATCTATGGAAGAGCTTTGATGACCGGAAGGAAATGGCTGCAATCCTAAACAAGATGCCAAAACCCAAACCACCTCCGAATAGGTGAAGGATCAGATATAAAAGATTACACTTTTTTAAAACAAAACCAAATATTAAGATATGAATCAGGAAGAAAGGTGAAATTTGGGTTTTAAAATCATCTAGGTGGGGAAGAAGGGAAGACAGGTGGGTAAGGGGTTCAACAATCTTGAGAAAGGGTAATTGGAGGAGGACAGAGTGTCTCAATTTCAATGTGCAATATTAGTGTTGGGAGGAGAGAGAGCATGTTAAATTGTTTTTTGGGAACTTGGAAAGAACTGAAAGGAAAGATCAGAGCAGCAATTTAGGAGTGCAAGAGGGTTGCTGGAAGAACCTCCGTAAGAGTGGTATTCAAGTCTTAGACAGAAATAAAAACAGAAGTCGCTGGGAACATGCAGCATCTATGGAGAAAGAGAGGAAAGTGAATGACCTTTTGTCAGAACAGAAGTCTTAGACAGACTTGGATTTTACAGGGAATTGAGTTCTTGAGAAGATTGACTTAAAAGGAAACAGCTTCACGGAGGCAGCTTTTGCAATTGAATAATGTATGTGAGCATTCTGCTTTAAGAGGCAATCAGGCAAATAGTGATAATTTGAAGGGCAAGTCGGACCACTTTTCTTGTATATATAAAAATGAGCACATTTGCAAGGACAGGTTCAGGGTAAATTGGAGGACAGAAAATTGTTTTAAGTGTATGCTAAAATGCCATTTTACTGTGCCGAGGCCATAGTATTGTAACTCCCTTGACAAGTATCCCAGATGATAAGTTTGTAATTTCGTCTGATTGAGAGCAGGGTGCCAGCCTGGAGTTTGGGTGATCTTCCCCACAAGGAGGGAGAGAGGGAGGAACTATTTGAGGGTTAGTCACCCTACGGCATTTGTTAAAGGTCTGATAAGACAGCTCTCTATTGTGGTTAGGGAATGTATTAGGAAGACTTGAACAAAATCAGGGTAGAAATTATAGATACTGTATAATCTAAATATTTTTATTCATCTGTGAGAATTTATTATACATGTTAATGATATTTCCCCCTCTTCTCTCTGAAACAGTGAAGGAGAACAGGGTCCTAACGGCAGCCAAAATTCTAACTACAGCCAATCATAAGCAATCAGCAGTTGTGGCGTAAAGCATATGCAGACTTTTCTGAAAGCACAGCCTTTCACTTCAAAATAACTGAGGCAAAGGGAGGACTTAATGTGCTGTGTGGGACTAGACACAGATTTTACAATAATTCTGGAAAGAAAAATTGTCATTGGAAATGGAGAAAAATTCTCTGGAAGAGTTGCTGCTGCAAAACAAGACTCATGAGTATCATTAATTATTAACATTACATTTGTAAACTGTTTATATTGGGTCTCGTAGAGATGGTATCCCATTTAGTGACCAACTGAAAAGCTGTGCTTTTGAATTGTGCACAATAAAAATCGATACCATATTACAGCATTGTTCAATTCTAAACTGAAATCCTAGAAACAATCTGCAATGGGTTGGGGGAGAAGATATTATTCAGTAGATACATTTAAATTCTTTTGAAAACTATTTACGGATAGTAAATTATTCTTCAGGAACATTACTAGTTCCATTTGGGCTATTATGTAAAATGGCTTCCCTTAATTGTAAAATGAATCTGAGAGGCTGAGATAGGAGTACAGACAGTATTTCTAGTCAGAACCACAAAACTTCAAATATAAGACTGGACAGTGATTCATTATATGTTAAAATCTTTGGAAGAACAAGCAGAAATATTAAGTCTGCACTATTTTTCATCAGATTTTAGTTTGTCACACCTGTTCAAAAATTAAAATCTGAAGAGAATAAGTTTGTTTAATGCAGTGCTATTAACAATGTTTGGTGGATGCAGCAGTCCTTTGCTACTATTTTGGTTGACAAGGATGTTGGTCCATATGGCAAATGTGACCCTAACTGAATGTCTTAAGATTAACTTGTTATTTTGACTACTGTACTTTTTGCTACTGTGGCTATTTGGTCAAAATCAATAACTTAAGAATGTGCCTAGCAGAAATGTTAAAAACTAGCTGGTCTACCACTCTTATGAATGTGTTTTTGTCTTGCCACAAAGCCTGAACACACAAACAGTTGTGCGTTTTCTGCTTATAGCGTTTAAAGTGGTTGATATGCACTCATGTTTTGCACTCTTTCCCCTCTTCCAATATATTTCTTTAAAATCCATTTGTTTCCCCACACCCTCCCATACAGCATTTTTTTAAAAAAATATCAGTTTGAATGACTTAGAATTTTAATACTGAATTCTTTTTCAAGAATTTAAAATAATAATACCAGATATTATCCATGTAGGTGTGGGATCAAAGCTATTATCAGGTCTCCATTAAAGAAACAGCTACTCACTTACATGTGGGCAGGGCATTAATATAGTTGGTCCTTTTGGGGCCAATCTGGATGTGACTTTTTAATGTCTTTGTTGATAGCTTTTCTTGTGCAGCAGAATTAAGATTTTTAAAGGTACAGTGTAGTTGAAGACAATCATGCAAGTCAGTGGAGACCATTACACTTCACCCTGAAGAGGCACCAACCTTTACTACTGACATTCTTACAGAGAAAGCACATTTTTCAGATGTCTGTAATTGTTAAAGTTGAAATTGTTATAAGTACATTAAAGTGGGTTTGTTGCAAATATGATTTGTTTTCACATCTGCCTTCATTTATTTTCTGTACAGGAAAATTCTTGGAATCTAAACTCCAAAAGTGTCACGTTGATGTAATGTTTAATGGTAATGACATGCTTGAAATACTTGAGTTTAGACCAGTTCCTTGCCTTACCAGAGAAGATTTTGACTCATCCAAAATAACCTTTGACTGGTCTAGAATAACCATTTGTAAAAGATCTCTTTGGATGAACTTTGTGCTGCATGAGGTTCCAAGTTGAAATATCTTTGTTCCACTGCAATGGGAAGCATTCATTACAGTATTGTTTTGACCTAAAATGGCTACCTTGCGTGTTGTTGCTTACTGATCAGTGATTAAGCCAAGGAACTTGTCTAAATATGTCTTACAGCTAGCTGCTGCTGGTTACTGAATTTAAGGAAGTCATTTTTTTGAAATCAAAGTGATAGAAATTATCATGTGTATGTTTACCACCTACATACAGTAGCATAGACCATACATGAAAATGCAAGTTCAACATTCACTAACCTTTGTTCTAATTCTCCAATGTTTATAATTTGGATTTTATACTGATATTCAGTGAAGTTTATCAAAATACAAAATTGTTCAAAAATAAAGCATCCTCATAAATACTGTAGTAACTGACAAATTATTATATAATGTGAATAGTTAAGTTCACTTTCTGTAGGATTGCATGACTTTCAATATGTATGAACCAATATCCTATGCCACGGAGCTGTAAGTTGCTTTCTCTTAGGAGGAAGTTACAACAAAATTACACTTGTATAGCGCCTTTCACGTCCCAAGGCGCTGGACAATCAGTGTTTTGGACCCGAGCTGGGGGTTGGGATCAGGAAACGCAGGGGGAGGGGGGAAGGAGGGTGACCGAAAACATGGTCGAAGAGGAGGGTCTTGAAGAAGGCAAGTGAAGGGGCAAGGTGGAGGGACGACGGGATGGAGTTCCAGAAGATGGGGGCAGTGTGGCTAGAGGCCGGCCCGCCAATGGTGGTGCAGGTGAGGCGTAGGACGTGATGCAGGCCAGAGCTCACTGAGCGGAGGGAGCAGGCAGGTTGGTAGGGGGTTAGGAGGTCGCAGAGGTAGGGAGAAGCAAGGCCATGGAGGGCTTTGAAGGTGAGTTCTGGATGATCTGCATGCAGCCTGTGTAGGGAAGAGTTGGGGAGACTGACAAGGAGTTGGCATAGTTGAGCCTGGATGTTATGAATACATTTGGGGGTTTTGGCGGCCTGCGGTGTGAGACAGTGGCGGAGCTGGGTGATGTTGCGGAGGTGGGGGAAGGGGGGTGTAGAAAGGATAGTTGAGGGTCAAACAAGACCTGAAAAGCGCTATATCAAATGCAAGGATTATTATTATTATTATAATGTTCTGGACTGGCTCAGTGAGGTGGAGTGTGCAACCATGGATGGTGATACTGTCAGCCCCTGAGGTGTTAAGATTACCAATTGGAAAGAGATTTTATATGCCGTTTCTTTTTCATCTCTGGCTGCTCTTGTGTTTTAAAAACCTAGAAGCAGGACATATGGCTCTATCCTTATTAATTTTACATTATGTACAGTATTTTTGGAGGGCCAGCGGTATCTTGACACATGCAAAAGCCTATTGCCATAATTAACAGTAATCCAAACCTGACTGAATTCCAAATATCATAATTTGGAATGTCTACCAAATAATACCACCAAATGTCATCATTTGAAATGTATATAATAATCTACCTTGGCATTGAAATTTCCATGTCTGGAATGGAATACATACATACTCTTCCTGAAGGGTCTCGCACTGTTTACTTAATTACAGATAATATTAGGTCCAGGTTGCTGAGAGACGAGGCTTGGTAGCCCCAGTGTGCATACAGCAGGGGTATCCAACCAGTTGATTGCGATCAACTTCTTGGAGCATCAAGAAGTGGCCAGCCAAAGCCCACACCGGTCCAGGCAAGTCCGTGCCAAAGTTTTAGTAGCTACCGAACTGTGATACCCATGGCGGGACCATAAATAAACATTCAATTGAGAAAGTGTATGTTGTTGGCAGACCATAAAGGTCGTCAACAACTGGTGAACAGGTACTGCTGGAGTTCAACCAGCTGGAAACTACTATTGTGAGCACTGCCTGAAAAATCTCCCACTGCTTGCACAGCTGGGACCACCTTTCCCTTTAGGCTATTGAACTGTACAGTGTTACATTTCCTCTTTCTCATCCAATCAAAAAGTGTAAAGTGAATACAAGCCATGGAAGTATGAAAGTGATGATGGTTTTCCAATGGTTAGCAGCCTTCATGGTTGACCAACAAAATAAATTCTCTTTATGGAATTGTTCTTCATTTATGGCCGCAGCAGAGAGATGCCAGGGAGGCTCAGAAGATTGGAATCAGTAAAGAGAAGGGACCAGTAAACTAGAAAGAGCCAGCACCTCACCAGCTTTTAATCAACAATATCACCTATTGGAAGAAAGTGGCTTTCTGCATTTGGGCTTATACACATATTGATACTTTTGGCTCAGAGAAAATCTACATATTCTCAACAAAACTGCAGCAGGAGGATTACTTTCAACTTACAAAAATGCAAGATGTAATTGATGTAACACGAGTTGTAAAATGAAGTCACTTTCAAATTAAATAGTTTTATTTGCAGAAATCTTATCAAAATCATGTTCAGGAAGCACATTTTTTTTAAAAAGAGCAATGAACGGACATTTTATAAAATTATGAATCATTGGTTTGGTCAGTTTGCATTAGAATTAGCTTCTGCTGAATATCTGCATTACTCTAGTGCAAAATATCCAATTATAGAGATGGTAGAGGTACCTTTCTGTACAAGTGTGCCTAGTATAAAAACTTTGCTAGTGGTTCTATTACAATTTGTCAGTAACCTTAAATAGCAAGTTCCCTTTTCCTTTGCATTTATATGCTAACTCCAAGCAGTACAAAATGAACAAATTTCCATTCTAGTGTTTGCTACAAATGCAAGTCTCAAGTTATAGCTTGTTAAAGCTAATCTTGATACTTCATAAGAACTAAAATACTCAAATGCACAGAACATTGAACATTTTCTGAAATGATTTTTCAAAAATTACTATTTCTAAAAAAAAGGTTCTCGCTCTTAACCTTTCACAAGATAAAAACAATTCTGATATCTGATTGTAGTTTTTACTACAATTAATATGAAACTTTTGAGTATTAACAGAGTAACAGTGCAAATCTGTATTCATGAGTAGAGAGTTATTTCCTAGTGGTACTGTGAAAAGTACTTCAATATTTAGAGCTCAAATTATTCCTTCTTTCATTAAACATTTAGCATAAAACAAATCAGCTTTTCTTCTCAGATTCTTCTTTCACCCATTCTTCCCAACCTCCAGGGAAATGTAGTGCTCTGAAATGCAAAGTAAGAATCAGCTATTTTATTACTGATAATGTGTACATCAGAATGCAACATGTATTTGTACTGGTAATCCTAAATACAACACACTAAAGAAAATCACAATTATTAACAAATATTGTGCCCAATTAGAAATTATAGTAATTAGTTTAAAGAAACTTCAAAGTAACAATTAATGGATGGTAGATGAGATTCCTACATTTCTTTCATATTTGACTAGATTTTAAAAATAGCTCAGGGTTGTTTTCCTCCCCTAAAGAAGTACTTTTGCACAGCGACTTAGTCAAAGTTGGCAATTACAACAATCCATGTTGGGTACAATGGTAGGGTGTAAGTCTGCACTTCAAATCTACTGTAATGATTACAGTAGACTAGAAGTACAAGCATACCTTGCCATTGGATTGTTGTAAAATAAACATTCAAACATTGGAAAATACACAATGGGAGATTAAGAGTAAAAGGGAAATTGGAGTCCTGTAGCTCAGTGGTTAGAGCACTCGCTTTGCAAGCGAGAGACCCGAGTTCAATTCCAGGCAGGGCGAAACCTTGGGCAAGTTTCCTTACTCCACGCCTAATAATAATCCCTCTAAAACCCCAAAACAATAATAAATTGGTGATTTTCAATCTACTACTGTTTGTGGGACATTGCTGTGCGCAATTGGCTGCCGCGTTCGTCCACAAATATACAATCAATTCACTTTACAGTGTGTTCTGTGAAGGGCTCCCGACGTGAAAAGCGCTATATCAAATGCAAGGATTATTGTAAGCTCGTTAGGATGTGAAATGCCCAGGCAACGGTCAAGGCAGGATCCATATTAGTTTTTTTTGGTCAGGCGGGTGTCTGACACATGGGGAAATCCATTGCTGTGCTTAAGAGTATCCAAACTAGGCTGAGTTCCATGCATGCGACCTACACATGAAATGGAATGTGCACTCTTCCTTTCAAGAGGGAACTAGAAAGATATTTTAAAAACGACATTTGTATGAGGCATGGTGAAAAGGTAGGTGAATGGGACTGAATGTATTGCACTTTCAGAGCCAGCACAGATCTGATGGACCAAATGGCCTCTACTGTAAATGCCTTTGGGTCAATCACTGTATCTCATCATGTAACCTGATAGCCACTGTTCACATAGAAATGTTAGTATATATGATTACAGACTAAACACACAACAAAAGAATGTCTGGTGCACAGTTGACAATTATTTCCATATAGCAGGATTAAAGAAGTTAAATAACTACAGCATTGATGTCTCCAGTACTTACTTACTGTAGCCTGCCAACAAAGCAGTATCTAAAGCTGCTTTGCTCCGAACTCCTCCCAAGCAGGAAAATACTATTTTGTCTTTAGTGGATGGCATTTTCACTTTGTATTTTTCAAGAAAGGTGTCAGGATCCATCTTCAAAGAATTCTCCAAATCTCTTACTTAAGGTAAATGAAGAAAACATAAAATAGTCTATCATCAAATACTACAAAAACAGAGCATATAAAATACAAGCCAAAAACATTTTTGAAGTCATGAAATCAAATTTAAGATCATATTTTTGTAATTTTCTGCAATTGACTCAAGTCAATTCAACTTTGTTTTGATGTAGAAGTTCAGATTTGTTCAGCATAAGTTTAACGCTGACAATAAGACATTCCATTGACAGAAGGAACATAATCAATCAATCTTATGATAAACTATCTTCAGATAGTTACAGTACGTACATACCCTATTGAAATGATATACTGTAACTAATAATAATAATAATCCTTGCATTTGATATAGCGCTTTTCACGTCGGGAGGACGTCCCAAAGCGCTTCACAGAACACACTGTAAAGTGAATTGACTGTATATTTGTGGGCGAACGCGGCAGCCAATTGCGCACGGCAATGTCCCACAAACAGTCGTAGATTGAAAATGACCAATTTATTATTGTTTTTGGAGGGATTATTATTAGGCGTGTGGAGTAAGGAAACTTGCCCAAGGTTTCGCCCTGCCTGGAATTGAACTAATTGAATTGAATTAAAGCAAACCACTTTTAGTTACTGTGTGATAATGTTACTTTTGTTATAAGGGAGTTTTTTTTTTGCTGTGTATCTTTCAAACAAACTGCAATATTCTGCATATATGGAGGTTGATGTCCTGGGCCAATAAAAAAGTGTGGAAATATTTGCCGAAAATTATGGGGAGATTTGATGATTTTGCGGGAAATTGCGGGGGGGCTTGGCAAATTTAGCAGAAAATGGCAGGGAGTTGATTGGTGCTATTGAGGTACATTTTACTGCCAACCTACATTTTTTCACTATTGATAATAACTAAACATGAGAAATAACACATATTAGATTGGTGCAAAAAAAATATTAATTGCTTCTTTAACAAAAACTGGAGGGGGGGGGGAAAGAAGGGAGACACCATCTACAGAGCTCTGAGCCCAGAACTGCACAAAGACCCAGAAAGAGAGACACACACACACACTCAGAGACCCACACAGAAACAGAAAGAAACACACTCAGACACAGAGGGACACACATTCTCAAAGATGCACACTCATATAGAGACACTCACAAACTGAGACACACACAAGCAGAGAGATACAGCGACAAGTAGACACTCACAAATACATACAGAGACATACACACAGATAATCATACTCGTAAACACAGAGACACACACAGACAATTAAACCAACGGGGCCTTTGAATGAAACCCATTTGCTGCTTGTGCTGCACCACACATACGAATTCAGAGCCGTCCTGACCACAGTGATGTCAGGTAAACAGCTGGGAAGCCCACTGACCAGAACCTACAGTTATAGCGGGTTTGTATCGGATGGAGTTGGAGGCTCAGTAAATGTGTAGATGGGATTAGGGAGTTACAAAGGGATTTAGACAGATGAAGTGAGTGGGCAAAGCTGTGGCAGATGGAGTTCAATGTAGGGAAGTGCAAGGTCATCCACTACGAATTGAAAAAAGTTAAAGCAGAATATTTTCTTAATTGGGGAGAGACCAAGAATTGTGGAGGTGCACAGGGATTTGGGTGTCCAGAACCACAAATCACTAAAAACTAATAAAAATGGTAAATGGAATGTTATCCTTTATCTCAAGGGGCCTGGAGCACACAGGGGAAGGACAACAACAAAATTACATTTGTATAGCGCCTTTCACAGGAGGACATCCCAAGGCGCTGGACAGGCAGTGTTTTGGACCCAAGCTATAGGTCAGAATCGCGGAGGTGGGAAGGAGAGTGATCAAAGGCACGGTCGAAGAGGAGGGTCTTGAAGAAGGCAAGGGAGGGGGCGAGGCGGAGGGTCTGGGGAATGGAGTTCCAGAGGGTGGGGGCAGAATGGCTGAAGGCTCCCTCCAATAGTGGGGTGGGCGAGGTGGGGACGTGAAGCAGACTGGATCCCGCTGAGCAGAGGGAGCGGGAAGGTTGGTAGGGAGTTAGGAGGTCGCAGAGGTCAGGTGGAGCGAGGCCATGGAAGGCTTTGAAGGTGAGGACCAGGATCTTGAGCTGTATTCTCTGTGTGATGGGAAGCCAGTGGAGTCAGGCGAAGATGGGGGTGATAGGGTCACGGGGTCTGGTGCGGGAGAGGACCCGGGTTGCAGAGTTCTGGATGATCTGCAGCCTATGGAGGGAGGAGTGGGGAGGCCAACAAGCAGGGAGTTTGCATTGTTAAACCTGGATGTTATAAATGAGTGTATGAGAGTTCATAAGAGATTCAGCTTTTGAGAGTGTTGGTCAGATCCCATCTGGAGTACTGTGTTCAGTTTTGGGCACCACACCTCAGGAAAGATATATTGGCCCTGGAGGGGGTGAAACGCAGGTTCACTAGAATGTTACCAGGCCTTAAAGGGTTAAGTTACGAGGAAAGGCTGCGTAAACTTAGATTGTATTCCCTTGTGTTTAGAAGGTTGAAAGGTGATTTGATTGAGGTGTTTAAGATGATAAAGGGATTTGATAGGGTAGATGCAGAGAAGCTATTTCTTCTGGTGAGGGAATCCAAAACAAGGGGCATAGTCTTAAAATTTGAACCAGGCCATTTAAGAGTGAAATCAGGAAGCATTTTTTCACTCAAAGGGTGGTAGAAATCTGGAACTCTCTCCACCAAAAGGCTGTAGATGCTGGATCCATCCACACCTTCAAGAGTGAGGTTGATAGATTTTTGGTAGGTCAGGGTCTTAAGGGATATAGGGAAAAAGCAGGAAGTTGGAATTAACAGGATTAGTTGAGGTACAGATCAGCCATGATATAATTGAATGGCGGAACCGGCTCAAAGGGCTGAATGGCCTACTCCTGTTCCTATGAGGGTGTTTGTTGCGGATTCCGTGGAAAAAATGCAGCCGCACTTTTCTGTTGATCCAGCTGATGTCCCACTTACTCACTAGCAAAGTGGTAAGTAACATTTTAAGTCTACAAAAATCAGTACACTTCGCAAGCAAAATATTTGTCCAAAATATCTTCTTGATGGTTTTAAATACACAAAGTATATATTATGTATTAAAAGTATTGTGTGAAAGTAGTTAAATGATTGATTAAATCACGCTAACTTGTTTTTTTTAAATAGAATTCAAAAGTACAGTGCATTTTAGGTAAACGCATAGTATCATAATTTAAGTTTTCTGTACAATCATTTTCTTGTAAAGGCCCAGCAATGTGCTGAGACTCTATCCTGCCTAATGAGCTATACAATCTTGATGGTTTTAAATACACAAAGTATATATTATGTATTAAAAGTATTGTGTGAAAGTAGTTAATGAGTAATGCAAGTTGTTATTGCAGCAACAGCTCTCATAGTCAGAAACTAGATCTACTATAATCCTGTAATCTGATCAAAGACCAAAGGGTAAAACAATTTGTATTCATGTGCCTTTTGTTGCAAAATTTTTGTTGCAAAATGCATATTACCACACAACTTGAATGAATTGTAAATATACTTATTAAGTATTTTTCAGCATAAACAGAAGTTTCTTTTAAACCTTTTTAAACTGCTGTGGACTTCTGTTTAAAGGGTCTCTAAAACAAAGTGCTCTGTTTTTCTTTTTTCCTTTGAGACACAGTAAGCAGAAAAGTACTACTTTTAGAAAAAAATGGTGCCACCTACAAATGGATATTTCCATATCTAAATAGAATGTACACTCTCCCTAGAGGGATACACCCTGTTTACCTAATCCCAGAGAGCATTAGGCACAGGTTGACAAGAGCCAATTCTTAGGGCCTCCAATTGGAGTAACTACTGAAGTTCAACCAGGTAAAATTGCACAGCTTGTTATAAAGAATACAAACAAATTGTCTAGCAAGCTTTTTGCTGATTGTCAGCTATCCAAGAGGGTTTGGGCTTGCAGGAATGATGGGAACTAAGTGGGAAGAATCCCTCCTTCCAATCTACTTGTAGAATGATCTACTTCTACTGAAATGAGACATCTGTAGCATGAAAATTTCTCAAAGTCAGAACCTTATTCTGATTTTTAAGATGTTTTCTGAGCATTTTATACTTTGCTTGAACAATCAGTAAATTGTTCAGGTGCTTCACAAAACTTATACAGCACCCTTCCTGTAGGGTCGTATCTTGGTGCACTATACAGTGGTGGGTTTGGACTCTGAGCAATGGGGAGGTGACCATAGGTGTGGTCAAAGAGATGGAATTGATGGTGGGATTTAAACAGGATCAGCTTGCATTTTCTCCCTTGACCCAGGGTTGCGCTTTGGAGCATTTAACAATGGCAGAGTTTCGCACCAAGCGAGGAAGAAAGGGGAGGTGACCACAGACATGGTCGAAGGCAGAGCCGGCTGAGCAAAGGGTCAGAAGAGGATTGGTAGATAAAAGAGGGAGCGAGGCAGAGGGATTGAGATAATGTGTTCCATAGGTTAGGGATATAGTGGCTGAAGCGTTGGCCACCGATGATGTTTCTATGATTTTCTACACCCAAAGATCTTATTTGTTCTTTAATATTGCTGTAAATTGTGATGCATTATAATCCACTAATTTCTTTCCTGTATTGTGTCCTGAAGATGAATACTATCAAATTGAAACTCCCTCCATTTATCTCCTTCCCAATTTTATGAATGTGCATTTGCTCACAAAAAGTGACAACAGCTCAATCTGTTGATCAAACTGGATCCCACTGCAGTCACTATGCTCCTCTTGCAGCTCTTCTTCCTTATATCATCAATAAAGTTAAGAGAGATTGGTTTCTGTCCCCATCTCTAAATCACTTACTCAATGACAAATAGTTTTGGCCAGAGAACTTACTTTGAGGCATCCCACTAGTTAATCCCCTTTGTCAATGCAGTTCTCTGTCCAGATACCTGATTTAACAATCTGAAGAGGAGGGTGATACCTAGTTTTAGAGGAGATCTGAGCTGATGAAGAATGATACGATAGTACTCTAGCCTTGATAAAAGGTGTTTCAGGGCATTTTAGAGTTATACGAGAAGCTAAATAAGATTGAGAAAGTAAACGTTGCTACTTTAGTGTATCAGAAAGTACAATAATGTTCAAGACAAGAGGGTAGTTTCTTGCAAACTATTGCATTTCGACCCAGACCAATACAGTGCAGTCTTATTTATTTGCACTGTTAATATTAACAATCAAATGAATTCCAAGACAGAACTAGATTAAATTCAATACACCACTGTAGCAACAGAAGATTACCAGGTTTATTTCTTCCTCTCCCACCAAGCCTCTGCCAGTTAATAAATTGTATTCTTCTGAAGATTAAGGTTAATATTTTTCCGACTAAATGTATGAAGACAAAACTAATGAATTAAACAATTTGTAGAAATAAATATATTTAAAGGTCAACTAACAACACTCAATTCCCTTTCCTGTTATTTTTAGAAGATCCTAAACAAAAGTACAAAGCTAAGTGCTAGTCACCTTTGACTACAGTAGTAAAACAAATTTGCAGTATATCAGAAATTGTCTGTTCTAATATATACTTACAGGGTATATTTACAGAACCACAAATCTGTCCATCCTCCTCAATCTCTGATTTTTCCCTAACATCGATAAGAAGAACATGGGATTCAAGCAATTCTTTCAATTCCTCATAGGAGATGGTGTGCATAGGAGGTGCAGTGAGTATCCGGTAAGTTGCATGATGAGTCACAAAAATTGGAACTACATTTAGAGGAACAGAAAAGCGATGACGGTTAAAAATGCCAGACAAGTTTTCAAACTTTTCCAATTAATCTCCCGCATTCCCTTTTATGTATTTTATTATGTGCAACACTCTAAAACATACTTTTAAATTCTATTGGCTGCAGTAGTTCAGTCAATTATTGCAAAATAGACACTTTATCACAAAATTTTACTATTCATATAGTTGATGTACATTTACAGTTTATAAGCACTACTCCTGTAATAATAATAATAATAATAATCCTTGCATTTGATATAGCACTTTTCACGTCGGGAGGACGTCCCAAAGCGCTTCACAGAACACACTGTAAAGTGAATTGACTTTTTGACTGTAGCTCAGTGGTTAGAGTACTCGCTTTGCAAGCAAGAGACCTGGATTTGATTCCCGACAGGGTGAAACCTTGGGCAAGTTTCCTTACTCCACACACCTGATAATAATCCCTCAAAAAAAAATTGGTCATTTCAACCCAAGACTGTTTGTGGGACACTGCTGTGCACAATTGGCTGCTGCATTTCGCTCACAAATATACTTTACACTTTATTCACTTTACAGTCTATTTTGTGAAGCTCTTTGGGACATCTAGAAGACGTGAAAAGCGCTATATCAAATGCAAGGATTATTATTATTACTCACTATAAACATCATTGCATATTCAAGTTGTGAATAGAATGAGAATTTTCCTGAATAAAAATGACAAATAGTAACATGGACAAATGACCAAGGAATTCAAAATATGTATGGAAAGATTATGTAAACCAGTTATAGAAAGCTAAAAACAATACGGATTGATTAAAGTAACTAAGATAACAATAATTATGTGTATTTACAGAATGCCTTTCACAAAACAAAAAATAATAACCATCTTGAAGCATTTTATAAAATATAATTGATTATAAATGAAAGTGATACAGGGAAATGCTTTAGCTAATCTGCCCTAAACAACGAGATGAGTAGCCAATTAATTTAAATGTGGAAGTCAATTTGAATTAGGAGGAAAATATAAATAACTAAACTGTAAGAAAAACTTTACATTTCTTTGAAATAGTATCTCCCTTTACATTTACCTGAATCACAAAATCAGTATTTATTTTTCAAAATTGCTACTGTATATGACTACTTTTGGTCTGCTTAGCCAGTAATATTGGAATAAAAGAGTCCTCTTTGATGCCCATTTTGTGTTTCTTTTGTCAGGTATTGCAAATATATGCAGTATCCAATTGTAAATGCACAGAAAACTTTATAGCGTGCCTGAACCTGGTCCTTTAGGAAACAAATAAAACAAAAAAAAAATTACATTCATATAGCATCTTTCACATTGGAAGAATGTGACAAGGCACTGGACAGGTCAGGGTCTCCACTCGAGCTGGGGTTAAAATCAAGAGGGGTTAAAAAGCTGAAGACCAATCACCAATGGTGGGGCGGGTGAGGAACATGGAACTTGCCATTGCCCGTTGAGTGGAGGGAGCGGACAGGTTGGTCTGGTGTTAATAGGTCGCAGAGATAGGGAGGAACAAGACTTTGTAGAGCTTTAAAAGCAAGGGCTAGGATTTTAAATTTGATCCTCTCGGGATGGGGAGCCAGGTGAGGTTGATCCGTTCATGGAGTTTGGTAGGGGAGAGGACATAAGCTGCAGTGTTCTGAATAATCTGCAACTTGTAGAGGAAGATGTGGGAAGTCTGGGAAGTCTTAGCATAGTGGTCTTAGCCAACAATTCTCTAATAAAAGTGGTCATTCATTTTATGGCTATTTGTGCATATATTGTGCATATTGCTGTGCATAAATTGGCCATTGCATTAGTCCACAAAACACACTTCACTTTACAGCTATCCTGTGATGCACTTTGAAAGGTCCTGCCAATATAAAAAGCACTAGACCAAATGGAAGGATTTTTTAAAAATCAAATCTTATGCAGAGCAAACAGTAGATAGGTGGAATAACGCTCATCAGATGATACCAAAACTTTCAGTCATGTACCGATGAGCTCTTTACCATGACTTGATAAACAGCAGCATAAATTCATGTTTTACAGGTTGTTCAGATAGATTGATTTTCTAGTATTTTCATAAAATGAGGCATTGCAATGAACCTAAAGGTAGTGGATTATAGAAGACTGTTATTGGTGCATAAATCGACAAAGGTTCAGCATTTGAAGTGGGTAGAAAACAAACACTTGCATGGACTTGTTGGGCCAAATGGCCTGTTTGCATACTGCATTACTCTATGTAACTCGAAGTTAAGATTGACAGAGTGCCACAGAAAGATATGGTGTGCTGAAAATAATGGATGTTTTTTTCTCATAATAATTATGAGGTGAATTGGTGCAGAGGTTGTGAGAAGTCAGAATATATTCACTATTAATACAGTATCACCATTGTCTATAGTAGAATTTGGTCTAATAGTGTTTGTCTCTTAATAGTCAAGCTGCCAAGTGAAATTTGGATTAGCTTGATGAAGGATCAAATCTGGGACAGAATTTCTTGTTTTGATCAAGATATGTTCCATAGCCGTTTCAGACATAATTGAAAAAAACATTTTATTGCACCATATGTTAAAGAAATACTACAGTAGCTACATGCTGAAGGAGGGGAAAAAGAAAGCACTTATTTTCAGCCATATCAGAGGAATGCACCTCGCCACATATAGGTTTGTTAACGGGGATCATATAGTTTTATCAGATTAAGTGGAGTTGGGACAGTAAACTTTCAGATACACCAAGATGGCAGGACAAGAAGGCATAGGTTTGTGAAGGTCAACAATCACGAAGTACTTCTTTACAAAGAATAAACTTTTGAAATGGAGTTTTGTAAGGCTGATCAATGGAGGCTTTACTTAACAAAGAATCGTACGGGTAAGAAAGAAATGACATGACATTTACAGCATCTTATACATCAAAATGGCTCAAAGCTACAGCATCTTACCAATTATTATCCTAGTGGACTGATTATTTTTCTCTGGGGGTTACTGGTTATGACACCAGGAGAAACTCCCTTCTCTTTTCAATTATTGCCATGGATCTTTAACGTCCACCTGAACAAGCAGACGGGATCTTGGTTTTTAACATCTCATCCGAAGAAGGGCATCTCCGATAACGCAACATACCCCAGCACTGCATTGGAGTGTCATTTTAGACTTCCAAATCCTGATGTGGGGCTTGAACCCACAACCTTTCTGGAAGTATGAGATCAAACAACAACAACTTGGATTTATACAGTGTCCTCCACGCAGGAAGGCGTCTCAGAGCAGTTTACAGTTTAAGATCCCGGGACCGAGCCAGGGGGAAGGGGGGGGAAGTGACCAAAGGCGCGGTCGAAAAGAAAGGTCTTCAGCAGAGACCTGAAAATGGGAAGGGAGGGAACGAGACGAAGGGAGTGAGGAGTGCAGTTCCAGAGCCTCGGGGAATAGTGGCTGAAGGCACGGCCGCCGAGGGTGGAGCGGAGGACTCGGGGGACAAGGAGGAGGCCAGACCCGGAGGAGCTTGAAAGTCCATCCGAACCTCTGGTGGTCACCAAAATGGGATGAGCAGTGGCACGAGTGGCAAGTCTGGTGCCCTCTGTATATATAAATATATTAAAAAGTTATTATACTTGATAGCCAGCAGTGGTGAGGTAATTGGGAGGCGTTTATACATGTGACAAAGATCACTATAGAAACTGCAACAAATTTCCTTCGTTCTTGTTGCTTCACCAGCCCTGCCTGTTTGACCCATCATCACATTGTTTACCAGCTCTCCCCCCACCGTTTGCCAGAAGTAAAAATAAGCTTGCAGCCCAAAGTCCACCAAACACTAGCCCAACTGGAGTCCTGTAGCTCAATGGTTAGAGCACTCGCCTCACAAGCGAGAGACCAGGGTTCAATTCCCTGAAGGTCGAAACCTTGGGCAAGTTTCCTTACTCCACACGCCTGATAATAATCCCTCAAGAAGAAAAAAAATAAATTGGTAATTTCGATGTTTGTGAGACTCTGCTGTGCGCAATTGGCTGCCGCGTTCAGCCCACAAATACAGTCAATCCACTTTACAGTATATTCTGTGAAGTGCTTTGAGACGTTTAGAAGACGTGAAAAGCACAATATCAAATGCAAGAATTATTATTAAAAATATTAAAAATAAAGAGTATGGTTTCTGTCTTGTCAATGGTCAGTTGAAGGAAATTTGTGCTGATCCAGCCCTTGAGATCTGACAGGCAGGCTGACAGAACATCAGGGGACTGGGGGTCGCAAAAAGAGGTGGAAAAATAGAGTTGGGTGTCATCTGCATACATGTGGAAGTGTACCCCATGTCTGAGGATGACATCCCCAAGAGGGAGCATATAGATCAGAAAGAGGAGGGGGCCAAGGATGGATTATTGGGGTACCCCGCAGGTGACCGGGTGAGAGCAGGAGGAGAAGCTGTTTGTGCAGATGTACTGCTGGCGGTTTGTGAGGGAGGACTTGAACCAGGCGAGCGCAGTCCCACTGAGGTGGATGACGGAGGAAAGGCTGTGGAAGAGGATGGGTGATCGACTGTGTCGAACGCGGTGGAGAGGTACAGGAGGCAGAGGGAGCCCTGGTCCCAGTTAAGAGAGGATGTCGTTTGTGACTTTCACAAGCACAGTCTCTGTACTGTGGGCGGAAACCAGACTGGAAGGGTTCGAAGAGGGAGTGGGAGGAGAGGGGTGCGCGAAGTTGGTTGGCAACAACTCATTCTAGGACTTTTGAGAGGAAGGGCAGGTTAGAAATAGTGCAGTAATGGTTAGGGTTTGAGGGATCTAGGGAGGGTTTTTTCAGGAGGGGGATGATGACAGGAGTTTTGAGGGAGGCAGGGACTGATCCGGAGGAGAGGAACTGGTTGTTGACGTCAACCAGTAGTGGGCAGAGGAGGGGGAGTTGGATGACCAGTAAGTTGGTGGGGAGGAGGGTCGAGGCAGCAGGTGGTGGGTTTCATGGAGGTGATGGTGAGTGAGAGGGAGGAGGGAGAGATGGGGAGGAAAGAGTGTAGAATGGGGGTGGTGGTAGGAGCAGATGATGAGGAGGGTGAGGGGGACAGAGGGCGTGGTGGTGGGTGACAAGAAGCAGGTGGATGAGGCTGCCTGGCGGATGTTCAGTATTTTAGATGAAAGGAAGCCCATGACCTTCTCGTACTTGGCATTTGATACGAAGATTGAAGAGGCCTGAGGGGGGCACAGAGGAGGAGTGGGTGGTGGAAAAAGGACTTTGGGGTTGTGTTTAGCCTCCAAGTTGATGTTGGGAAGGATGTTTTTGCATGTGTCAAAGAACGACGGTAGCTGTGGTGATGCTCAAGCCACAGTTGGCGGTGAACTGTCAGGCGAGTTTTCTGCCATCTGTGCTCGAGCAGACAGGTGTGGGTTTTTTGGCGGCGGAGATGGTTGTTGTACCAGGGGGATCGGGTGGGTTTGGAGATGGTCTTGGATTTTAGGGGGACGAGGGAGTTGAAGGTGAGAGGCGATCATGGAGCAGCTGGACGGCTGCTTCAGGATCTCCGCAGGTGGAAGGCCAGAGGGATAGGATATTTGATGATGTGAGAGCCTTTGTGAGGGTCTCAGGGGGGAGCCTTTTCCAAGGGTGGTAGAGGATGGTTGAGGGCTTGGTGCAGAAGAGAGGGATGTGAGAGGAGAAGGAGATGGAAAAGTGGTCCGAGATGGCCTGGTCCACTATGCTGAGGTCGGAAATATCAAGGCCGTGGGTGATGATGAGGTCAAGTGTATGACCACGGTTGTGGATGGGTGAATTTATATGACGGGTAAGGGCTCTCGCCAACGTCTAAAATCTCACGGCTCTCACCTCCTCCACTTTCCTGATCTCCCCCTAAAACTCTCCGAACCCGTACGCAACCTAAGCGTCAGGTTCGACCCCCAATTATCCTTCCTCCCCCACATCCGGTCCCTCACCAGCACCGCTTTCTTCCACCTCCGACGTATACCTCACTCCGCCAATACCTCACTCCAAAAGCCGCTGAAACCCTGGTCCATGCCTCTGTCACCTCTCGGCTGTACTACTCGAACGCCCTCCTCCCCGGTCTCCCCTCCGCGACCATCCATAAAATCCAAATCATTCACAACTCTGCCGCCCGCATTCTCACCCGCACCAAACTCCGCTCCCCGATCACCCCAGTCCTCGCCAGACTGCACTGGCTGCCTGTCCCAGAGAGGATCGACTTCAAGATCCTCACCCCTGTATTCAAGTCACTGCACTCCTCTACACCCCCCGACTTCTCTGACCTCCTCTCTCCTCAAAACAGTACCCATTGCCTTCGTTCCTCTGGGTCTGGCCTCCTCCTCGTCCCCCGAGTCCTCTGCTCCACCCTCGGCAGCCGTGCCTTCAGCCACTATGCTCCGAGGCTCTGGAACTGCCTTTCTCACTCCCTTCCTTCCCATTTAGGTCTCTGCTGAAGACCTTTCTTTTCGACCGCGCCTTTGGTCACCTTCCCCCCCTCCCCCCCCCCCCGGCCCGGCCCCGGGATCCGTTACTGTGAAGCGCTCCGAGTCGCCGCCCGGCGTGGAGGGCGCTACATAAATCCAAGTTGTTGTTGTTGGACGACTTATAATATTATTGGTGATAATATGATGACGATTTAGCTTCAGTGCTTTCGAAGCTGTGTGAGAAAAGATCTTCAAGCTGTTTATTGACCATATCTGGAAGGTTTAAATTTTTTTTCAAAAAACGAGGCAACCGCCCAAAGCCGTTTTTTCGTGCACAGAACAGCGAAAATCCGCCCCTTCTGGCGATACCCCACACAGCCGGTGTCGCGGTGTGGGGGGGACGGGAGGGTCTGCAGTTCACACCGCTCTGGTTACACACAGTCTGTCTCTGGTCACTCACCCCGAGAGGCCCGGCTCTCTCTCTGAGCCGCTGACACCCAGCGCAGCGCCCGCCATAACGACACCGACCTCGAGACAGCGCGGAACATGATTCAAAAGGGAACGGCCACCGCACCAACGAGCGCCCGCCAGCTCTGCCCACGTAGCTCACAAGGACGCCGGAAATTCTCTTCCTCCTCCTCACCGCCGCTCCACCCACCGTTTCAGCTGGAAGCGCTTTACCCTCTCCAGCGCCCGCAGAGAGCACACCGGCCTCCGTGCGGGGGCGTGTGTGTGTGCGCGTGCGTGCGTGTGCCGGTGAGGATAGAGCATGCGCACTCAGGACCAGTTGCTGCGAGATGGACCCAGGAGCGAGTCAGAGCATGCGCATTCAGAGGCGTGGCCGACGGTTGAGCAGATTGGGACATGCGCATTAACGGGAACGGCTGAAGGCGGGGCCGCTTCTCATTATTGTTAACGTAGGCGCCGCCCCTTTCTGGAAGGGACGGGAGGGTGGGCGTCGCCGTGCGCACGCGCACTCAGCGAGGTGCCCGATCGGGAGAGTGTGCGTCTGCGCGGAAGGAAGGCACTGCCGGTGGCGCAGGCGCGGTTGGACCGATTCGGGAGCAGCAGAGCGTGAGCGGCCGGTGGAGTACGTCGAAGCTGCTGGAAGCAATTGGCCTCCGTCAGGGTTCCCCCACACCCCTCCCTCCCTCCCTCCCTCCCTCCACAGGGCCCGCCCGCCCGCCTCACACCCGCTCAACCAGTGAGTTCAACACAAACTTTAGTCTCAAGGGTTGCGGTGGCCGCTCTATGGGGGGGGGCGGGGATGTGATGGTGAAGTTTGAGTCGCTGGTGCTGTGAAGACGAGAGGGAGGCCCGGTGCCCGGTGCCCGGCCCCGGACACCCGACCCTCGCCTTTCTGCTGCGCCCTATCCACGACTCGGTGCCGAGTTGTGTTCAAGTTGGGTCAGTCACCCACCCACCCGGCGAGCTCCTTCCGACGTCGCTCCCTTGATGTGTCAGGTGAACAGACAGGCAGTTTGCAATCATGAGCGGTGTAATAATGATAATAGTAGTAATAATAATCCTTGCATTTCATATACAGTGCCTTATTGTGACCTTGCGATGTCTCAAACCGCTTCACAGGGTACACTGTAAAGTGAACTGACAGCAAATGTTGTGGGCGAATCAATGCCCCACAAACGGTCACAAAGTGAGTGGCCAGTTTTATTTTGGGCATTGTTAATAACATAGCAATAATCTTCCTTTCCGTCTCAGACGTGAACCCTGCCAAGTGTCAGTTGGGAGCGCTTTCGCGCGAGGCAGAAAGTGGTGGGTTCAAGCCCCATATCGGCTGTATTCAAGCCAACACAGGCTTCAGGTGCACTGCACTGTCAGAGGTGCCGCCCTTTGGACGAGACGCTAAACTGAGGTCCCATTTGCCTGTTTCAGGTTGAGCTCTTGGCAGTATTTGAAAAGGAAAGTAGATTTCTCCCAGTGCCTTGATTCATTGGCTGTTTGTGGGACATTGCTGTTCATAAATTGCCCACAAAACACACAGTCGCTCCATTTTACGGTATATCCTGTGACGTGCTTTTGGACCCTCTCCTGATATAAATGGCACTTAAGGATTATTATTATGCATCGGCCTGGTTCAGTTGGTAGCACTCTCACCTCTTGAGTCAGAAGGTTGTGGGTTCAAACCCCACGTTGGGACTTGGAATCACATCATCTAAACTGACATTCCAACGCAGTGCTGGGGGTGTGTTGTATTGTCGGAGGTGCCGTCTTTTGGATGAGACGTTAAACCAAAGTCCCTGCAGCCCATGTCCTTTCCCGCCCCGGCTCCGTGACCCTATCTCCCCCATCCTCACCCGACTCCACTGGCTTCCCATCACACAGAGGATACAGTTCAAGATCCTGGACCTCACCTTCAAAGCCGCCATGGCCTCGCTCCCCACTACCTCTGCAACCTCCTAACCCCCTACCAACCTGCCCACTCCCTCCGCTCAGTGGGCTCCGGCCTACTTCACGTCTCCCTCTCGCCTGTTCCACTATTGGTGGGCGGGCCTTCTACCACTCTGCCCCCACCCTCTAAAACTCCATCCCGCATTCCCTCCGCCTCGCCCCCTCTCTTGCCTCCTTCAAGACCCATCTCAAGACCTTCCCCTGCCCTCCACCCTCCCCAATCCCGATCCTCAGCTCGGGTCTGAAACACTGACTGCCCAGCGCCTCCCAACATGAAAAGCGCTATACAAATTAAATTTTGTGTTTGTTATTCTGCGAGGCACCTTGAGACATCTCCCAGAAGGCTGTAGATGCTCAGTACTTGAACATCTTCAAGGCTGGGACTGATAGATTTTTAAAAAATAGAGGGATTAGGGGATATGGGTATAGGGCAGGTAATTAGAGTTAGGTCTGAAGATCAGCCATGATCTTATCAAATGGCGGGGCAGACTCGAGGGGCCGAATGGCCTACTCCTGCTCCTAATTCTTATGTTTTTATGTCTTGACAGTGTGACGAGGAGCTATATCAAATGTAAGGATTATAATTATTAACAGTCCCCTAAATAAAATTGGCTGTCATTCGCTTTGTGACTGTTTGTAGGATATTGCTGTGTGCAAATTGGCTGCATGTTCATCTACAAAATACACTTTACACTGCACTTTACAGTGAATCCTGTGAAGTGCTTTGAGATGTTCTGCTGATGCGAAAGGTTGTATATTAAATGTAAGGATTATTATTATAATGTTGGGGCAAACCATCCAGATAGTGCCTTCAGAAAATGAGGGGAGAGAAGGAGAATGCCTTTCCCATAAGGAGATAAATTTCCATGGTTGTTCCTGTCTAGTATTAAAAGGTAAAGGTTACATCCTTTATATAATACAAACAGTAAACTGTTTCAGCATACGTTATTGTAAAGCTATTAACACTTTACAATTCACTTTACAGTATATTCTGTGAAGTGCTTTGAAACGTCTAGAAGACGTGAAAAGCGCTATATCAAATGCATGGATTATTATTATTACAGTGCAAACTCACTAATAAAGTTAACAAATGGAGAGAAGAATTGTTGCCACATTACCGGGTTAATCTCACGAGTGAGTTTGTATTATTTGCTAAACCAGTGCGCAACCTTAGTGTCCTGTTTGATCCTAAGCTTTCCTTTCTCCCTTACAACTGGTCCCTAATCATGTCCTCTTTCCTTTACATCGTCCCCTGTTTCGCATGCAAATGTGTCACCTTCTCCCACCCTGTCTCCCTTGCTCGTTGGCCGATCCCATCTTTGTAAAGTGTTCCGAAATATTATCCTATGCAAAAGACACATGTAAATGGAAATTGAATTACTGTATTATGTTATGTTGAAATGAAAAAGACTGCAAATATTAACCAATCTAGTGAGATGACCACATTAGTATGGCGACCTGAAGGCGAGTGGCCACTGTTGTGAGATCGCTGCCCTTACAAAGAAATGTACAGCGTGGAAGAAGCCCATTTGGCCTGTTGCTTATTTGCCAATGTATAAATACAATTTTGCAGCAAAGGACAGAAGTTGTGCAAGCTTTAAATTTGACAGGGCTACTATTTTGGGTGAGGTCACAGTTGCTTCAGATTTTTTCTTCTGTTCAGTATCCTGACCCAATTCTCTTTTAAATTGTTGGTGATGATTCGCTTCTATTTGGTAGGATAACTAGAATTCAATGAAGAGTAGTAGCGATCATAGGTTCTACTTTAGTTCTGCAATTCATGTTGCTGCGTCTGCAGTATGAGCGTTGGTACGACTCTCTTTGGCCCTAGGTATATTGTGTTTCTGTGCTGACTTTGGTGAACTGAGTTGGGCATTCTTAATTTAGTTATTAGTGTGCATTGATGCAGTATCCAAATTTTCAATTGGATTGCTGAAACACAAAGTGTGATATGGCTGTTATTTTTTTTGCATTCTTCTAATTCTGTTTTAGTTTTGGTGTATGAATGGTACTGTTCAGCTTTTAAACTGTTTCAACATACATTATATGTAAAGCTGTACAACATTTTCAATTATAATGACAGATGAGGGTAAAAGACCCATCCTCCCGAAGTAATGGTGAAATGACAAAAAGGAGCAAAAGACCTAAAAAGCCTCAGGATGAAGAGTCATCGGATGAAGTCTCAGGTAAACTAAAAGTTATTGTTTTTGAGAATAATTTTATCTGTATGCTATGGAACACTAAGACCTTGTTTTTTTTTGGGGGGTGGGGGTGGCGATGAGCATTTTAGAATGTTTTATGTTGGAATAGGGGATTGAAAGCTGATTAAATACATTTTGCTGCCAATTTTAAATCCCAATACCGTTATTACAAGTGATGCTATATTCATTAGTCCCGTTGTAGAAAAATAAGCATGAATAAATTAGCAACTTCAAAACTTGTGCCATACTCGTAAACTGATAAGGTTTTACTCTGAATGCAAACCATGAATTTCGGTTATTTTATCCAGTTAAATTACTTGTTTGCCGTTATTTGCAGTATGCAATTTCTCCACTATTATCAACAACAAATTGCGTTTATGTAGCGCCTTTCATGTAGGGAGGACGTTCCAAGACACTGGACTGTGAAGGGTTTGCACCGAGCTGGGGGCTGGAGTCAAGAAGGCGGGCAAGGGGTGGGGGGGTGGGAGTAGTGAAGTTGGGAGAATGATCGAAGACATGCCTCGAAGGCAAGGAAAGGGGTGGGCGAAGGCGCTCTGGGATGGGGTTGCAGGAGTTGGGGGCAGAAAGGCTGAAGATCTGACTGCTGATGGTGGAGTGGGTAGAATGGGGACATGGAGTAGGCCAGTGCCCGCCAAGTGGAGGGAACAGACAGGTTGGTAAAGTTTTAGTGGGTCACAGAGATAGGGAAGAACAAAAGCACAGAGGACTTTAAAGATGAAGATGAGGATCTTGAACTTGATCCTCTGGGGGATGGGGAGCCAGTGAAGCAGGGCGAGGATGGGGATGATCAGCTCACAGAGTTTAGTGCAGGAGAGAATACGATCTGCAGAGTTCTGAATAATCTGCAGCTTGTGACGGGAAGAGTTGGGAACTCCCAAGTAGAGAGTTAGCATACTCAAGGGTGGATGTAATGAAGGCGTGGATGAGAGTCTCAGCAGCCTGAGGGGAGAGGTACTGTTGAAAGCTGGCAATGTCGCAGAGGTGGGGGAATGTAGAAATCATCATAGCACAGATGTGGGGTTTGAAAAAACAGTTGAGGGTCGAACAAGACACCGAGGTTCCATACTGGTGAGGTGGAGAATGCATCCATGAATAGTGATGCTGTCAGCGCCTGAGGTGAGGAGCGCTGACAGGAGCCAAGCTCCCTTTAAATTTAAATATCAATTTATAATGACCAGTAGGCAGCCTTGAGTTTTAGTTGTTGGATTGTGAATACAGTACAATACATGTTCCAAGAGTTTGTATGGCATGTTTCCTAATTGGAATGTTTTTATGTGAATGATGCACTTAACTCTTTGGTTCCCTTGGAATAAGAAAATGTAAAATTGTTCTTTTAAAATGATTTTAAAGTCTTACATCTTCATCTATTATGAAGATTATGGCAACATATTCCATTATAGATTTTCTTTTAAATGAAATATAGATTGCAATCTGTATTAGCTTGTACGAGGAATCTAAAGCTTGTCCCTGACTCCTACTATGACCTTGTGATATCTACAGATATAATTATGTCATGTCTGGGGTCAATAAAATACACCTTTGACTTCACATAGTGAGGCTAATGGACAATATACAAGCTTAAAATGTGAACGTTCACCTTTTTACATTTTTAAAAAAAATTTATACTTGTAAATAAATGTGGACATTTCCAATGAATTCTAAATGCTGTTAAAACAGAACCAAAACAGCTTTTTTAAAAAAAATCCTTTATGATTAATAAGTTCTATTATTAATCTGAAATTGGGACGTCTAATTGAGTGATTTTGTTTCCAGACTTCATTTTTTGGGGTGCGGGATGGGGGATATTAAAAGGTGTTGCCTCATAAGAATGCTGTGGCAGAAACTTGTAAGTCAAAAGAATCTGAGGAGCCTGTTCTGTCCTGGCATTGGAATTATACATATGGTGAACTACGTATTCTTTCAACTACAATACCATTTAATATTTGAGGAATTTTTCCACAGTGTTCCAACAGTAAACCTTTCTACTTCAATATAACAAAATAGTGCTAATGAACTCCTGTTTTACCAGACTTATAAATATCTGTGAACGAATCGGAGGAACAAGTGAGTTTCATGTATTTCTCATGGACTGTAACCACATTATCACTATTGGATCATATATTTAATGCTGACTAGAATGCAGTATATTTTTGTTAAAAGTGGTGCAGTGACCTAAGTAGATATGTCTGAGTGCTGAAGAAACATTTGGTCTCACTGTAACACATGGCGGAACTGTAAGTGATGTAACAAGTATTATAATTGGCACTGATTTGAAATGGTATTGAAAGCTTTGTGTACCAGTGTTTAATTAATTGATATTACCTAACTTTTTAAACTTTTAACTTGATAAGTGTCCTGTATATTATTTAAAATGGTATACATCTATGTTGTGTACATTTCATTGTAAAAAAAACACTGAACCAAGGTAATAGATTAACAGTAACAACATTTATTTGCATTCTGAATTTATATTCTTTCCTTCAGGCTCAGCATGTCAGCACATTATCACATCAGTGGATCTGATCGAAGTGAAGAAGGCTGTTGCTCAAAATCACTGGTCAGTCTGTTCTGAATGTGTCAGGGATTTGAAAGCACATGATGGAGAGCCTGAAATTTCACCAGATATTTGGATGTGCCTCAAATGTGGTTACCAGGTCAGTAATATGCAAAGGTATTGAAGTACAGTGGAATCTGCTTTAGCTGGATGCCAGTTAACCCCGGATGCCAGGTAAATCGAATAAAATGCCTGGCCCAGATTTATTTGTATTCTTAGCTGTTTTAAACATGCTGGTTGTTTCGGACAAAAATCCAGTTAATCCGGTCAAAATGCCGCGATGGTTGCCACTGAATGTACTTACTAATGCCTTCTGTGTCTCGAGCAGTGCCATTCACCCATGAGTGGCTCCAGGGTGGAGTTGGGAAGAGTCTAATTGTGATTGATTGACAGCGGACTCCAGCCATTCACAAGCGTCTGGAGTTGGATTGTCAATCAATGAGGGGGCGGAGGAATGTGGAATAAATAAGGGAGGAAATGGGAGGAGTCAAATCACAATTGATTGACAGCTGGAGCCGCTTGTGAACGGTTGGAGTGCTCATCCATTCACAAGCGGCTCCAAGACTGTCAATCATTTTGAATCCTCCACATGTTTGTCTCCTTCCTGTCTAATGGGAATGGCAATGGAAGGGAGGAGGCACCACTGCCGCTTATCTGCTGGGCAAGAAGAGGTAAAACAGTTCACCTCAGACACCCCTTAAGTCGGACAAAACAGCCGTTCTCGATGTGTCCTTAACAGGCTTCCACTATATTTTCTTTATGTTCAACAGTTTCATGTTTTCTTAAAAAAAAAATTATGATTAATTGGTTATTAGAAATACCATAAACCTGGAATGATAAAAGTCCAATCAATCCATTAAGCCTGTTCCTTCCATAGTATGCATCTATTTTATCTATTAATCCGTTGTAAGTCAATTCAATGTTTATCTGGTTATCTTTTGCATTGATGTTCTATCTGTCAGACATCAAGTCCTAGATGAGCTTCAACTTTCTTCAGTTCAATGTGGACAAAACTGAACTAATCATCCTCGACGCCTGTCAATGCTCCTTGCTTCTGACTCAACCTTCCCTCTCATACTCTCGTACTCACTGAGCCACCGCGCAACTTTGGCATTTTATTCAAGCCTCAGCTCTCTTTCCTTCCTTACATTCAGTCTATTACCAAGACGGTTTTACTGCATCTTCACCACTTCACCCACCTAATGCGGCCGAAATGCCTTATCCATGCTTTCTTTACCTCCGAACTTTTCAAATGCCCTCCTGCTGGCCTTCTGCCAGCCACAGGTGTCATATCATTTAATACTCACCCCACCCTGCATTCTTATCTGCACTAAGCTTTGTGTGATCATAACCCAATCCTCACTAGGGTCCCATGGTTCCTTCTCCCAATAGATCAACTTCAAGAGCTTCCCTCTCACCTAAAAATCCCAACTGCACTCTTACTCCTCCCTGCTTCTGTGATCATCTTCTCTTCCCCTCTACTCGGTAAACTTGAACCTCTTGTACATTCCTCACCTAAATGCAAGGAAAAATATTCTGCCCCACCATTAGTCACAGAGTCTTCAACCACTATATCACCACCCTCTGGAATTCCCTTCATTAATTTATCTGTCTGCCCCCTCTGTGACTGTCCTAAAAAGCTGTCTAAACTTTGATTGCGCCTGTGGTCACTTTCCTCCATCTCTGCTCTACGTCTGGCATATTGTTGCAGTACACAATATTTTAAACTTAATCTTTATTTTCTATTTGTAGCCCATATCAAAGACCTTTTTCTCCCTGACATTTAGGCATAGCTTGGCAAGAGTCCAGGCTTGGGGCTCCAGAGTGTGTGTTTGTGTCCTGCTGGATTTTAACCAGCTAAAACGCTTTGAGACGTCTCGAAGACGTGATAAGGCGCTACGTCAAATGCAAGGATTATTATTATTAGCCTGTTCGCATCTATATTATCCATTTAAAATAGCTTTCTCTAATGAGAACAGGTTTAGTATTGAGTTTATTCATCACTGAAAGTCCTGAGATCACCCTGTATGTGATATTTACAATATGCATGGAGTTTCTGTTGGTTTGGAATGGAATGCACAAACTCTCCCTGACGTTTAGGCACAACTTGGCAAGAGTCGAGGCTTCGGGGCTCCAGATTGTGTGTCCGTGTCCTGCTGGATTTTAACCAGCTAAAACCACGCAGCTTGCCATTGCAAACACTGACTGGCAAGCTTTCCACTTTGTGTCCAAGTTGGATCAACATATCCATTAGGGCTTTGGCTTACAGAGACGAGTGGGAAGAATCCCAGCCTCCAGTGACTGGCATGCTCCTCCAAGTCCTGTGGACGATCTACCCGGGGAATTACAGGCCAGGGAGTTTGACATCTGTTGCTGGGCAAACATTGGAGGGCAAACTGAAAGAAGAAATAATAAATACATGTATAGATTTATAAGAGGGAGTCAGCATGGCTTTCTGGGAGGGAGGTTGTGTATAGCAAAATGTACTGGAGTTTTTTTTGAAGAGATAATACCTTTCTGTAACTCAGTGGACACCATATCTTTAGATGTTAGGTTGTGGGTTCAAGCCCCACTGCAAGAATTTGATCTTGTCGTCTTGGCTGACACTCTAAAGCAGTGCTGGGTGAGTGCTGTATTGTTAGAGATGTTTTACTTTGGGTGAAATGTTAAATCAAGGTCCTGTTTGTTTGTTGGTCATTCACTTCATGGGTGTTTGTAGACATTGCTGTGCACAAATTAGTTGTCCCATTTGCCTACCAATACTCAGTGACTCCAGTTTATTGGCTGCACCCTACCTCTGCAAACTCCTTCACCCTTATCAATCTGGCAGTTCCCTTCGCTCAGCTAACACTGGCTACTCCTTCATCCCCTGACCCCGCTCCATCCACCTTTCATCCACTTGGTGTCTGCGCTCTGGAAATCTATACCCAGGACTTGCCCCTCCCCTCTCAAGACGTACTCCTTTGACCGCTCTTTTTACATCTTGCCCCTTTTCACCTCCCCTCAGTTCCCACCCTCGTCTCCAGTGACTCAACCAGAATTGTCAAGTGCTTTGGAACGTTGTCCCGACATGAAAGGTGCTCCATATGTATAAATGTCATTGTATTTATGGTAGATACACTTTGAGACGTTTTGAAGTGATAAGATGTTATAATCATAAGAAACCTTGCATTTGATATAGTGTCATTCACATCATGAGTACAACTTGCATTTATATAGTGCCCTTCAGGCAGGATAGTCTTGGAGCGTTTGATAGGTCTAACTGTGAAGTGCATTGTATTTTGTAGGAGAACATGTTGTATTTTGTAGTTATACTAAATGCAAGGATTATTTTTGGCAAAGCTTTTAACACTGCTGCACAAGTTGGAAGAAGTGGAAAAGAAGCTTGGTACTATTGGCAATATTCAAAAGGGGAAGTGAATTTCTCCCAGTGTACCGGTCAACAATCCCCCAGATAAAATTGATCATTCGCTTTGTGGATATTGCTATGCACAAATTGGCTGCCGGATTTGTCCACACAAAAAATACACAGCCCCAACACTTTACAGTAAATCCTGAGAAGCACTTTGAGATGTTGACCTGACTTAAAGAGCTATATCAAATGCAAGAATTAGTTTAATCACTAGAAAGACGAATAATAGTGAGAAATAAAATGGAAAAAAAATTGGTGATATTGTTAGATACAATTTTTAAATCAATAAACTGTTTCAAGACAGTAACAGCACACATGAATTGGGCAAGACAGAATTCTGCATTTGTTTAAGTGCTCAGTGCAGAGCTCTACCAATTTTAGCATAACAATGAAATTCAATTGTGTGTAAATCTTTTCCAGCATTAAAATAACAAAGGGAATCCAGTAGACTGCCTTGGTGCTTTTTATAATAGAAAATTAAACTCTTCATTGTGTTTTGACATTGGTCTGGCATTGCTATTATGTTGAATCGTGCTGAAATTGCTTTCCATGAGTCAGCTATTATGCAGATTCCATGTCAATACAACAGATTGTCAAGTTTATATAAAATCTGCAGTATAAAAGTTCTAAAAACAATTTAGAAGTAATTTTGAGTTCATACATAGGAAAGGGACAATTAGCATGCAATACTAACTATGCTACAAGTTGGTCTCAGGATATACAATACCACTATCTCCAAAGAACATCTGAGACCACAAGCAGGAATAGTAAATTCTGAATACAGAACCGCAGAATCAAATTAATCAAAACTAATCAGAATCAAAACTTAATTTCTGTATTTCTTGTGGTTTTCTCAGTTATCCTTTAATGCAAGGATTATTATTATAAAAATTAGAACCCATCATTTTTAAGTGTATCAATTTGACAAAGAGTTACCTGTACTTTAAACTTAGGGTTGCAGTCGAAACTCGGAAGATCAACATTCTCTGAAGCATTCCCAGGCAACTCGCTCAGATCCACACTGCATCGTGATTAATCTGGAGTCATGGAGCATTTGGTGAGATGTAAATCAATATTAATATGCATGTTGTTAATTGTTAAATTGTATTATAATTTCAGTTTTGTTTAGTTTTAATAAACCAATCTGTTCTTGCTGGATAAACTTTTCCCCTTCCAATTGGCTGGTATTTGACTATGAGAGAGGGGTTGATATTGTGAGACATTCTTCAATAGAGGTACCTCCATACACTGCTGCCTCCCACTCCTCACACACTCTCCAATTTAATCCTGTGCCCTCCCAACCCCACCATAAATACAACAACAATTTGCATTGATATAGCGCCTCTCGCACCCAGAGCGCTTGAGATCTCCCATCTTTATGGCTCAGTTTGTAGCAGAATATGGGTCAAGCCCTACATTTTAACTTTTGCCAAGGCTTCAGTTTTGCATTCTTGGAGGTACTGTTCTTGGAATGAAATGTTAAACTGAGTTTCTGTTTACCTAGTTGAATGGTTTAAGTTAATGTTAAAAGTCTCATGGCACTATTTTGAAGAGGGGCCGGGAGTTCTCCCAATGTACTGGCTAAATTCCTACCATGTCCATATTCATCATAAAAGTAATTGATTTCTTTGTTGGGGTAGATTAGCTACAATATTTTCCTACAAACAGAAGTAATTGCTCTTTAGAGCAACTATAATCATTGCATTTGATATAGATCCTTATCACGTCATTGAGATGTCTCAAGGCGCTTCATGTGATGTACTGTAGAGTGGTGTAACTGTTTTATTGGGCAAAAACCGCAAGCCAATTTGAGCACAGTAATATGCCACATACAGCCATCATGTGAAAAAACAATTTTATTTGATGAATTGTTGGCTTTGACACTGGGAGAAACTTCCTTCTCTTTTTGAAGTCCTTTTGGAGTCCTGTAGCTCAGTGGTTAGAGCACTCGCTTTGCAAGTGAGAGACCTGAGTTCAATTCCAGGCAGGGCGAAACCTTGGGCAAGTTTCCTTACTCCACACGCCTAATAATAATCCCTCCAAAAAAACAAAACAATAATAAATTGGTCATTTTCAATCTACGACTGTTTGTGGGACATTGCTGTGCGCAATTGGCTGCCGCGTTCGCCCACAAATATACAGTCAATTCACTTTACAGTGTGTTCTGTGAAGCGCTTTGGGACGTCCTCCCGACGTGAAAAGCGCTATATCAAATGCAAGGATTATTATTATTATTATTATTAATAGTGCCATAGGATCTTCAAACATGGACCTGAACAGGCAGACAGACCTTGGTTTAACGTCTCATCCAAAGGTTAACACCTCTGACAATGCATATCAGTATCGTGGACAATATGGGTTCCAAGTGTCAAGGTTGGGTTTGAACCCACAAACTTGTGACTCAGAGGAGAGAGTTCTACCAGCTGGACCAGGCTAATGTACTAAAATAATTTGTGTAACATATTGAATGCTTAAAAATGTTCAAACTGCAAACAAAACACTACATTTTTATAAATCATGTTATAAAAAGTTCAAATCTTGTAACTATGGTTGCATTGCTTTATCTGGCATTTTAATATCAAGTGGATTGGAAGACTGCTGTTATAATAAATTATGCATAATATTCCTTGTCTTAAATCTTTCCTTTAAATTACCATAGGTGCTATGAATGCAATGAAGAACCAGCACAGTGCAATAAAAAGGCTCTTGCTCAAGCACTGGATTTTCTGCAGAAACATGCCATTAAGACGGGCTCAGGTAATGCTTTCTGAATATACAATGCCTAAACTAAACTGCTAGATCTACCATGTACAATTGATGTTCAAAAGCAGATAATCTGGATATGAGTGTTGATGAATTGGGAAAAATTGGGAGGGGGAAGATAAAATCACATTGTCTCCAGTTAAACTTTTGTGAAAATGAAAGATACGAGTATTAGGGATGTGCTGTTTAAATCATGCAGATTTCAAATGAATATAAAGAATCTAAAGTTATTGCAAAATAGCTATGATATAAATATGAAATTTCCAAAAGGATTTTTTAATAATATGTAATTTATGTGCCCAAATATATAATAATGAGGTTTATAGGTTTGCAAGGTTATGTTCACTTACAAATAAACTATATTTATAATCTACGAATTTACAATTTGTGATCTTGTAATGTCTGGATAACAACATTCCCCTTCACTTTACAGTGAAAATCCTGCAAAGTGCTTTGACACGTCCTCTTGACCTGAAAGGTGCTATTTCAAATGCAAGGATTTGATTACTCTTTTCAATTGAGTGACAGTGGAATAGCAGTTCATTCTCAGGCACTATTAAATAAGGATTTCCAAATTCCTTTTGATTTAAATTTTGTATCTTAGTCTTGCTTATTTGTAATGTGTATTCTGAGAAAAAAAGTTATATTGCCTTTGAGGCAGTTGCATTCGACTGAGATCATCTTAATCTCTACTAATTTGGAATTTAAATTGGGTCTGCATGACCTTTTTATACACTGATCAGCACTTTTACCAATTGAACCAATGAGGGAACTAAGTTAAGTTATGTAAAGGCCAATGTCGAGTACTTGAGGTTTCTTTGGCAATCAGTTGATAAGCAATTAGTGTATCGTAAATGCTGCATATTATGGTATTGTTGGCTAGCTGCTTCCACCTTGTGGCTTTGCACAAGTAGTGGTGCTTTATATTGCAGTTTTCCCCCTTAATATTTTTTTTCTGCAAGACTATTATAGCTAAAGTAATTTCAAAGTAGGCATTTAAAAAAAAGTGTGAATTATTTTGAATTCTGTGTGGTAAATGATGTATATTGTGTTTTAATCTTACACAACATGAAATGCATTTTTAATTGTGCTGTTATTTTTATAGAAACTTTTAAATTTTGGTATGGATTATTTGTATGCTCACTTTTCAAAGCAAATAAAATTCTATAGCATTATTCTTAGGGGTTTGAGGGAAGAACTATTGTTGTCCAGATATTGTGAGATCAAAAATTGCAACTTAGTTAAAGAATTCTATTGCTCCGCATGTTGTGAAGGCCAACAAAATTAACATGCACTTTACCGAACTTTTCCAGACTCAGTATTTCTCATCCTAAGCTTCTTCCCAACTCAACATAAAACTACTCTTCTCAGTGGGGAAGACCTGGACTCCAACTGGAAGAGGGATGCTCCTCTTGCATAAGTGCCATTGCAGAGGCTGATGATTTTATTTAGTGCTGCCCCAAGCATCCCTACTCAACTCTAAACATTATTGCACATCTAGTCCAATTATCACACTCCCCTCAAGCAGATTAGACACCTGCAGTCTCTGTGACAGTACTCCATGTGATATTTTGCAAAAAGTACAGTGCACTTTCATTTAAGGGCTGATTATTTTTCTAGAATATTTTTGTTCTTTATCGAAGATTGTTTATATGATAACCATAGTAAAGCTTTTCAGTTTACACTTGCATAGTCTTGCCTGGTACATGGTAGCTGATGGTGGGTACAATTCGTATGCGAATCTGATTTACCGATTGTCAGTCAGTCTTTGGTTGGTTGTGTGCTAATGCAAACTGGCCCAATGGCTGTGGTGATAGATAAACAAATTAAAACTTCATGTGCAATTTTCTTGTGTTCCTAGTTTCCCACCCATGACACAGTAAGCGTTTTCAAACACAAATTCTTTGAAACAGATTTAAATTATTTGTGTATTTAGTAAAACTATTGTAATTTTGAGTATTTAAAATTGTTTTGTTTCGAGACGAAATATGCTCTGGTTCTTTTTGTGTATTTATTTCTACTTTAAATCATTGTCAATTATATAGGAGCCTGTATGAAAATGTCCGATATGGTTTCTAAAAGACAATCTGTACCACAAAAAGTTTAAACATTGCAACTCTATAGCAATACAGAAAAATAATTGCATTTGGAACTAATTTTGTACAGAGTATAACTGGTGATGTAGATTTGCAGAACAGTCAGACTTTCAAATTAATATTTAATGTGCACAATAAATTAAAGTTTTCTATTATTTCACCCTAGGCCAACTCCATGAAAAGTAACAAGCTGTGGCATCTGGTACTAATATGGGGGGAGGGAGGAGGAGTTAAGATTGTCAGTGGGCTGCCTGTTTGCTATGTGATCTCTGCAGTGTTTGGCTTCAGCTGTAAAAATGTTCTAATTATATTACTACTACATGAATGGTTGCGGTAATTACATTAAGCGGTTGAGCTGCCCCTTCCCCTTCACCCCCCCCTCCCAAGTGCTGGGATCCCAAAAGAATGCAAGCAGCTGTGAACAGCACAGTGACTATTCTATGGCTCACTGTAACTAGCCCAACTTTTATTAGGGGCACAGTCAGATTGTCAGAGAGATGAGAGGTCTCATTAGCCACACAAAAGAAGGGAAAGGATGTTTTTTTTGGTTGTGCCACCCAGACGGTTGTATTGTGCTGGGTAACAGGCCAACTGTAGCTTTTGCAGGCTGTAGTTCACAAAATCAGTGGTTACCAAACAGGTGCAATACTGACGGTGCAATGATTTCTCATGTTTCCAAATATATTCATAATCAAAGCAGTAACTACATACACAGGGTTTAATTCAAATTAATAGTATGACAAATAATTGCGAATTGTATTAAAACCTATTTCACTTTTTTTAATTGAAAACTTAAAACTCATAATACCATGCCTCTGTTTTTTTATTGAATCTACTATAAAATTGGAGGCTTTGGTAACTGAGGAATATACTGTAAAAGAAGAGGGAAATCATTTCTAGAATGTTGCATTGCCTATTCCTGTTGTTAGAAAATAATCTGTTAGTATCTTTTATCTTGAGTTTTTGTGGGTTACACGTAAGTTAACAATAGGGCTCTTGGGTTCAAAATATCTTAAATATTGACTTGCGACTTGAAAGACTGGATTGACATTATTTACTGAAGGCAAGGGTTGCAGAAAGAAGGCAACGTACCTTTTTTGTATCCCTCACCACAAAAGTATCTTGACAAGAATATAGTAAAGCCTTGCAATATTACAGCAGCAGGTTTAGTAAAGAAAGGAACTCTATTAACTGGCTTTACTAAAAGGGCCTTCAGTTGGTTTATTAGAGAAGTGTCATAATAATTGTACTGTATTTCAGGACTAGAACAGAACCTAAACTTTGTGGGTTTACATGTTGATGCATATTAATTAAATTTCAGCGCTTTGGGATACTATCCCACGTGAAGGGCTTTATATAAATGCAATTGAGTATATATACACATTTTTCTCAAAATGCTTTTTTGGAAAGCATAAAGTGAAAAAGATCTACTGTGTTGATAAGGAACAGTCACAGAAGATAGTGTCAAACTCTTATATTTTCGTTGTGAAAGGGCTTTCAATGCAGAATAATAGTTATTGGATCTTAATGTTGTAATTTATTTACATAATAATAATCCTTGCATTTGATATAGCGCTTTTCACATCTTCGAGACGTCTCAAAGCGCTTCACAGAATATACTGTAAAGTGAATTGACAGTATATTTGTGGGTGAAAACGCAGCAGCCAATTGCATGCAGCAGTGTCCCACAAACAGTCGTTATCACAAATTAGTAAGACCATAAAGGGCATTTACAAAAAAAATAGGATTGCTGGATTTGTTTTGATTCCTTTGAAGCAATAAAATACAATAATAATTTTACATCGGGATACATTTTAATTTTCCCCTCTCCCAAGAGGTGCATGTTGTATTTCTTTGGCATTTGGATAGGGAAGTCCTAAGACTAAGTCAGAAATATGTGTTGTATTATGTCAATAGAGTGCTAAAATTCTACTCATTTTAAAGAACGTACAAATATATTTAATAATTGTAAACTCCTAGCATTCAAACTAGGTATAGCCCATCTACTTGTTCAGGTGGACTTGAAAGATTCCATGGTGTTATTCAAAACAGGAAAGAGGTTTCTTCCGTTTCTTGACCAACAGTTCTCTAAATTAATTGGTCATTCATTTCAAGGCTGTTGTGGGACTTTGCTGTCTGAAAAATGGCTCTCATGTTTATAAAAAATAAATGAACACTAAACTGAGTTCTTTCTTCATGTTATTCTTTAAAAAATCTATTTTCTCTATATGTGTGTGTGTGTGAGATTTATCACCTATTGAAGGAAATTTTCAGAATAAGGTACTACAATTGCTAAATCTTTTTTTAAGAAGCACGATTACTATTCCATATAAAAGTTGCACACAAAAATAGTCACTATACTTTACAGTATATCTTATGAAGTGCTTTGCGGTGAAAGGCGGTTAAACAAATGTAAGGATTATTATTATAAAAGCCATCATCTTGCTTGCATTTTTCCAATGCTGGGTCAGGTTCAACTGAACATTTTCAGTTCTTCGTCAGAAGATTGTGGAATTAAGTCCACAAAAAGACTTCATCTTTTTCTACCATTCATTTAAAAACCATGAGCATTGGGGAGCATTCAGAGTTGAGGCTGAACCAGAAAACCATCATACTTCTGAACAAAGCCTTAAAATAGTAAAGAAGTTGGCTAATCTTCAAGTTTGTTTATTTTTCAGTTCAACATTTAAAAAAAACATTGTGTCAAAGAGCTCTTATTGTGAATATTTCATTTTATGGTTTTCACTCCACAATTCACTCCTGATTATTCTCTAATTTGATTTGCAATGACCTTGTGGCAACAAATAAATTAGCTTCCTTGACCCAACTCACCTAAGCATTTGTTATTCGAATTGAGAACTGAAATGGCAGCTTTTCATCTCCGGTCATAGTTCGATG